TACTGAGTATCTTGAATGCAAATAATAGAAAAAGAAACTTAAGTGAAAGTGGCTTGTAAACATTTTTGTTTAGTTTGTTATTTTTTGTGTACCAGTAATCCATAAAATAAATTAGGGGCCAGTGTGGCAACCAATAAAAGTTAAAGATTTCATTTTAAATTATTTCAATTGCTACAAAATATTTAAAAACTTCTCATGAAACTACTGTTGCTGAGGAACATGATAATATAAATATATACAAAATATTTTAATTAAAATGGGAAGAAAAAAAACGACCCTATCCCCGGTATAGATCCTCAAACATTCCTATCGTCAAGCAACCACTCTACCACAAGACCAGACAAGATGTACTAAATCGTACTTCGTTTGGAATTATAAAAACTACTAGCCGTCCGGCCATGTCCGGCGGTCACGTGACAAGTCGCCGGACGTGTATCTTGCGCACTACACGTCCGGCGCGCCGGACGTGTAGACACTTCGTTTTCATAACTATCAATGGGTTGTTCCTAAAGTCGTGCTTTCCCATGGTCACATGTTTAGCCTTGAATCGTTACTATTCAGAAAAGTATTCTACAATCATTACGATAAGTTTCTTTTCCATAAAACGCATGTAAAATGGCAGCATTTTAAACAAGATGTAGGTATTTACTTTTCTACCTACGCCTTGTAGGAACAACCCATATTGGTATAAAATTATATATTTTTTGCAATAAATGTCAACAAAATTTTAAAAAAATAAATTACTATCTTTTTTTGTCTTTCTATTGGTGTATGGTCTACTATAGTTACTAAGTAAGTACTAAAAAAAATGTTTAATTTAAGAAACATAGAAAAAAAATGTTTGACCCATGGACCACCTTAATACCTATTATCTTTAACTTATTTTAATTTTAACCTAAGTTTATTGCCCAGTCTGAGACTGGGAAAAAGTAAGAAAAAAGCTGACCACACTTCATTAATTCAATAAGTTTTGCATTAAAATTTCCCTTCAGATCCACCGAAAATACATGACAAACGATTTGGAAAACATTAGATAGTAACCACTGAAGTGTTTTAATGCAGCTACATGAGGTAAATAGGAAGTTTTAATTTATTTCTTAAGTCACTTAAGAAATAATTGCGCTAAATTAAGACATTTACTGCCCAGACCATAATTTATAACAAAATAGGCCTTACAGACTCCAGTCTAATCATATAGTATACAGTAAATTAGGCCTAACTAATACTAATTGATGCGTAGTAGGCATAGTGACTGCATAAGAATTAAGATGACATACACTCGTACACAAGCACTGAATAAATAAAAATCTGGAATTTAGTGGGGGGGGGGGGGGGGGTTAATAAGTAATAAGTGATCTTGGCCCTAAAGCCTAAAATATGTCAATAAGAAGCCAATTGAAAATGATTCATTCGGAAGGTCGTCGAATATCAAATAAAATAACCCAACCAAATATGTATACTTGCACATGATTTACCACTGAACCAAACAAGATCTTCAGTTTACTTGTTCCTTATATATTCCAAGTGTGCAGTATTAAAAAAAATGCGGTCGTGGTAAGCCATTCTTCACATGCAGATATAATTATTTCTCTCAATACTCTGCTCGAAACTTACATTTTTGTCGTCATCGAGAGCATTTGTCAGCTTATCTTTGATTTGAGCAGGAGTAAGGGGCATCAGACAAGCCAAAATCACCCAAATTTGTTTTTTTTCGCCCGCACAATACGCGACGTTTGCCCACCCGAATGGCGGTCGTCGTCCATGTATTGTAAAGTTTTCCGTCGTCGCACAGGCATCTGGGAAGTCTCTCCACCGACATGACGTCAAATGCCGAAGAAGTATCAGCAGAAACCAGCGCAAGCTTCTTGAGTGACGAGGCTATGCAAATTGGATGTGGGGCTTTTTTTTTTTTCCATACAAAATTTCATTGGCTGATGGCCCATGGTTGGAATATTGAAATGTTTTCATTGGTCAAAAGCAGATATATTTCGTACACGGAACCCTTTTTAATTTATATTTTTTTTAAATAATAGTAACAACTACAAGGGAACACACTCTGAACAAATTTAAAGAACTTCCGTAACTGAATGTCACTAGTGGAAGGACAACAACAACAAAATACAACTTATCTCGGTTTAGTTAATTATTTTTATTTTTAAAGTGAACCGGGCAGATATAATAAACTGACAGCATCATTGATAACTCGTTGCCTATAATAAGCTATAATCAGGTCCAATTTAATCTTCGGGCTTATATCTTATATTATTAAAAGTAAGTTTAAAGCATTCATTCATTTATTTATTATGATTTTAATCGTGCTGTTCGACTCGAGAGTAAAAGTAAAGTGACTGACTGAGACGACTCGCTGAGAGTGACACATGATTAGCTCTTAGTCTTAGTTTTCAGGGTTTTGCATATCCCTGGAAAATGGGAATGGAGTTTTCCTCATCCCAGGTTATAATTAATTTTAAAATATATCATAAACTGAATGAAACTATAAAAGTATAAATTAAAGGGTAAAAGTGCAGTTCAGGTACGTATATTATTTCTAGTCGTATTTCATATTTTGCCGTGTAAAATTATGTGAATTTTTTTATAAAAGAATTTTTTAAAGTTAAAGTAAAATGCCATCTTTGACTAAACTAAATCTAAATGAAAATGTATCCCTATGCCTATACTAAGCTAGATTAGGTACTCCAACTCAAATTTTCAAATGCACCTGACTAGATACTTCGCCGAAGCAAGGGACACTCCTAGTAAATTTGTATCGGAAATGGCCATCGGCGCAGTAGGATCAGAGTTTTTAATTTTCTCATCTGCATTTAATTTGAATAAATTAGGAGTCATTTTGGCCCATAATTAAGGTTTTACTCCGCCCATTAACGTTAGGAGAAATGTTGAACTATATTCCCATTGAGTTAATTTTTTCTTTATCTCAACTTTAAGTGAGGAAAATCGTATGTCAATATAAGGCATCTTCGCATTAAAAAATTCTGTCTAAATATTCAAAGTAGGTCTTTCATATTAAAAGTAGGCCTGCATAATTTGTTGAAGTACACGTGTGCAAAATTTCATTGAGATAGCTCATGAAACATTTTCACAATTCTCCTTAACGTTGATCTCATTATGCAAAGGTCGCACAGGCCATTTTGGATTAGTGATCCCGCCCCCTTTTAAATGTCAGAAAACGCCGATACTTAGCTTAGGAAATATTCATTATTATCTCTATATACATCAAAATATTTGATAACTTGTGTTTCAGAATGCATTTTGAAAATATTTAAACTAGAATTGTTAAATTTGAGCTTTAAAAACCAGGTAGAGTCTATATTATTAGCGATCTGAATTGACAGTGTGCAAAAAGTCATGGGAAACCACAGCCATTTGCATAATGCTATGCTGTAATACTACCGACTACCTCAAGTTTCATTCGTAAGAGTTTGCAGTGTGCAAAAACTATTAACAACATTGGTCAAGAAAAGCTTTAGTTAATTAGTCATGTGCCGAAGTTGAAAGTTCAACAACAATTTAGGGGGTGCGTTGCCTTATATAGACTATATAGCATTTACCGGTATAATGGACGCTGAAGATGTGGTAAACAGAAACGGAGTGTCTACACGTCTGGCGCGCCGGACAAATAGTGCGCAAGATATACGTCCGGCGGTATGTCACGTGACCGCCGGACGGCTAGTAGTTTTTATAATTCCGAACGAGGTACAGTTTGGTAGATCTTGTGTGGTTTGATGGTAGAGTGGTCGCTTGACGATATTATGATCTGAGGATCAATACCGGGGATAGGATCGTTGTTTTTTTCCTCCCATTTTAATGTAAAATATTTTATACTATATTTATATTATCATGTTTATCAGCAACAGTAGCTTCAGGAGAAGTTTTTAAATATTTTCTAACAATTTAAAATGTGACTTGGTCGCCGGACAAATAGTGCGGGAGATAGACGTCTTGCGCGCACTGCCAAACAGAAAAGCCATATATTAATACATTATATTAAATTTACTGATATAAATAGTTCATAGTTAGATAAGCTACAATTTATCTATAATTGTTAACATTATTAAACTTATTTTTTTAATACAGCATTAGTTCTGAAAATAAAATCATCACTAAAACAAGAGTTATATAACTCGTGACGCGATCAGCGGAATTGGGTACCAGAAAATGGAGATGTTAAAAAAGGACAAATTAAGTCGTACTTTAAAAATTCATAACTTTAAAACTACAACAGCTAAAAATATGATTTTGGTGTTATAATTCTTTTAAAAATCAGCTCTATTCAACTATGCCATTGGTTTATTTTTTTTTTTAAGTTTTAATTTTTGTATCAAAGTATCTACCTATGCCTAACCTGGACCCTAAATCGATCCCTATGCCTAACCTGAACCCTAAATCGATTCCTCAACCTAACCTAAACCCCAATTCACTGCAACTATAATAAACACGCAAATGACGTCAGGGGATGATACTCAACATTAGCCCCATCTTTTTTGTTGGAATACAACATTGTAACAAATTTTATGAGATAAAAAAAATGGATCTTTTGTCTTTTACTAGGTACTTCCGCATCGCCCGGAAATTCCAGAAAAACGGGTATCATAATTTCTTTGTCAAAATGGCGACCTCCACTTTTTAATTTACTGAGGGTATTGTTGTTTTGCCTTTTAATGTCGATTATATGCAGAATAATAAATTCTACATCCGCCAATTTCATAAAGCCAACATCTTGCTTGTTGTAATGAGAGTTCGTTTGATTTCATTTTTCGAGGTTAAAGCTTTGAAAATTAAAGTTAAAAATAGGTAATCTTCACTCATCAATAATTTTTTTTAAAAAATGCGCTCATTATTAAAAAAAAAAATCTAATTTAGTTTATATGTTCATTTACAACATATCCAAAATTCATGAGTGCAGTCCATCGGAAGGGTTCAAAAACGAAAGTCAAAGAGGTCATTTTTTTAGGCTATTTAATTTGTCATCATGGCAACCATGCTTGTCTGCTTATTGCCATTTGTCGATAGCAGCCATGGGGTAGTTAAGAGTTCATTAAATGGGTTATCCGGAATATAAATGGGAAATATAACTAATAGTAATTGATTTTAAATAAATAAAAAATGTTTTAAAAAATAATTAACTATTTATAAAATTTATTAGTTTAGTTTATGATTATGAACTATCAGTGATTTTAATTTTGAGGTTGGTTGCCATGGCCATGGACTTAGACTTACAATTTATTGATAGCAGTTGTGGGGTAGTTAATAATTCATCAAATTTGTTTTACAGAATATAAATGGGGAATACAACTATTAATAAATCATTTAAATTTTTAAAAAAATGTGTTACAATATAAACAATTATTATTGGCTTATGAAATATCAGTGTTTTTAAAATTTAGTTAGGGTTTGTTTGCCATGGACTTGGGATTGATAACCACTTGTATTTGATTTAGAATAGGCTTAGTTGAAGTATAATATTATAATAATAGTAATGATTTAGTGAGTGGGATAAATAGCTTTTATTACATATAATACATTATATTAGTTTATATATTATATATATATATATATTGGCCTATAAGCTTAGTATAATATATAGTTTAGGCCTAACTCAAACCCAATTTATTATTTGTGGGGCTTATTGTAAAAAATTAGATGTAATGAAATTTTATGCTATATAATCATATTATGATTCTGAAGACATAAAATAAGTAAAAATGTAAAAAAATATTCACTTACCTTTGGTATTGAAATATCCTATAGTTAATCACATATCACAAATATTCCAAAAGTGAATTATTATATAATCCTAATTATTCGCAAAGCAAAAACACACTTTCTGCCACAATAATCCAACAATTTCTTAAGATATTATTAAAGAACAATCATACAAACTTGTGCTTACCTCAAGCAAATGACTAGAAATTGTTTTAATTTTTATCAACCGCAAAAGTTGATTCTTACAATTCATGTTGATTTGTGAAACAACATATGACTAACTCAAAATAAATGACATACTAATTTTTGTCATATTCATATAGGACTAAAATACATAAATAGAAAATGGAAAAAAATAAAAAGTGTAATCGTCAATTTTTACTAAATTAAACAAATACCAGTAATCACTTTATTTTTGTTTATTCTTATAAATGTTAAACAATTCCACTAAAAATTTAAAATTAATATCGCAATATTATTATAAGTTTGGGTGAAATTAAAAGAAAAATATTTAAACAAAATTAATTAATTAATTACAAATAAGTGACGAGTCAGCATATTTTAAACATTTTTAACAGGAAAATAATAGTTTTTCCCTAAATTTTGCGGCATATCCACAAAAGCTAACTTACATTTTGTGGCTTTATTTGGAAGTACTCTTATTTAACTATGTTCCCTGTAAATATTATATTTTTGTCTCATTTTATAATAAAGTTTTAGGCGTTTAATGAAAGGGAAAATGAGGGCCACAAATGTGGAGGAAAATCCCATAGTGAAAAAGTGGCTTTGAGGTCCCTACTAAAAATTTCATAACTTTTGAACCACTTGAGCTAGAAAGTTGATCTTGGTGTTTTTGTAATCTATTCTCCGGGCTCTATTGTATTATTGTTATATTTTTAAAAATGTTTTGAAATTTTCATGAAAGTACACCTATCTTTTACGGAACCATTGTGTTAAATCAAGGATAACTCTTCTGTCTTTAAAGATACTTTATAAAAGTTGCCCAGTTGGATGTATCTTGTATTTATTTTATAACTTTACAATCAAATATAACTGAATAGTTGTAGGTAGGTACTTGGATAAAATTTTCAAATTGGATGAATTAAAAAATGAACACATCTGTAAGGTGGCCCTTTTTAAATGAAGTAATAATATGTTCTCATTTTTCATGTTGCACTTTTGGTTAAAAAGTTATGATTTTTTTTCTTGAATAATTTTTAACATAGAGATTTGGTACCAGTTTTCAAAATTTTTTTATGAAAAGGCTTTATGAAAACTTTATAGCTTAGTGGACAAATAATATGAAACTTTCCAGAAGTGTTCATCATCATATTATCAACATCTTTGTTGCTTTAAAAACTAAAAAAAATTAAATAGAATATTTTAAAAATATTTTTAATGTCATTAATTGAAAAACTTTTTAAAAAAAATATTTTTTTTTTAAAAATTAAGACCAAACGTAATTTATTTTAAAACAGGAAATATAACGGAGGCAATTATACAATAAAAATTATAATTTAATTTAAAAGGGAGCAATATTTGATACAATATTAGTTAATATGTCTATTATTATATTGATATTACAATATCAAAACATAATATTAATTAAGATGGAACTTGATTGCTTTAAGAATTATAAAATTTCTTGGGCTTTCTTATCTGTCAACTAGTTAGTCATAAATAATACTTTTTCCGGTTTGTCACTTTTGTTTTCGGCCATTTTTTTCTTTTTAAAGTTTTAGACCCGTTTTGGCCAAAAATAACATTGTTATGGCCATCTTCTTAGAGACTTGAAATTTTACATGGCCATTTTTGATACAATTTTACAGGTACAGCAGGTCGATTTAAAATGGGACAACGAATAGTTTTCAAAATATTGATAAATTATACTTTCTCATATTTTTTAAATTTACGACATACTGATATTACTAAAAACAAAATGGATGCGGTTAAAGCCCGTTCATTAACATAACTAGAGCAGTAATTCGTTCGTTGATCCCACCTAGCGCGAAGAAAAATAATATTTTAGCGAACCCTATCATCCAGCACATCCAAAAAAGCGCGTACCGGAAATTTCGACGGAAGAAATTTAGCAGGCGGTAAATTGATCGACCGGAAGTTTGGTCGAACGGTAATTTGACCGAATGGAAATATGATCGAACGGAAGTTTTACCGAACTGTAATTTGATCGAACGGAAGTCTGGTCGAACGGAATTTTGATCGAATGGAAGTTTAGTCGAACGGAATTTTGATTGAACGGAAGTTTGGTCGAACGGAAATTGGATCGAAACAATTTTGTTTTGTTTTTGTTGTAAATAAAAGGCTGCTTACTTTTGCCAATGCTCAGTTCACACATTCAAAAGTTCGATAGTTAAATTTCTTTCTGAACGCACTGTGTAGTAGTGTATAGTAAAACAAAATAATCATTATAATGCGTTCAAAAAGAAATTTAACGCAAAATTTGATAGTGTAAACTATGCAGCAAGTATTAAGACATTCGAATTCGTGTGTGAAATTGTGGAAATCTATAATTATACTTATTACTTATACTACTACTACTATATTTTAGATTTTGAATTAATTTTACTTTTTTCTTCCATATTATTATATAATGTGTAAAAATGATAATTAGTTTTTTAAGAATTGATACAATTTTATTTATTTTAACCTTTCCTTGTCAAAAGAGAGTTTCTGTATACTAAATGTTTGCAACATTTCATTTATAATGATATGATTTAGTACGTTTCCTTTGAAACAAGATGTCCGCTCTCTCGGAATTTACCATACATTTTTTAAGGTTATAAATACAAATAGTTATCGATTCAAAATCAAACACCATCATTGCAATGAATCTGTGTAATGTCACTATTACTCAGGCAGCTACGCTTAGGTCACTTAGCTCTACTAGGTTAGGCTTAGTTTAGTCATAGTTTTGAAGCCTAGGCCTAGGCCAAAGACTTTGTAAGATTAAATTTTATTAATTTTTAATTAAGGTTTGCTTAGAAGTTGTAGTAGAAGTTTAAGTTAGTAAATAATGGTTTAATAACACCTTCACCTGAATTATTATAAAAATATCAGATGTCAGATGATGTAGCCTACTTTATAATTTATACCAGTAGCAGTAGTATATTATAATATAATATAATTATAAATATTATTCTAAAAATATTGCAGGCTAAGTTTCTATAATGTTATTAATTTACTTTTTTGTAGCTTGAGACTTAATATTATAAATTACAATGTCGGCCTAATGGATACATTCAAGAAGAGGAGCTAAATTACATATAAGTAATACTATACTATGGACATGAACTGGACATTATAACAATAGTCTTAGATAGCAGCTTTTGCCAAACTGTTAAGTTGGGTGGATTGGTGAACAAAATTGCACTAAGTACCAGTGCCAGATTGATTCATTATATTTTATTTTAATTTGGGAAACAGCTGGTCTGAAGTATTATTTCTAGTCCAAATGTAGCCATACTCGGTATACTCATAGATTAATAAAAATAAATAAAACTTTCATGTAAGATCTAACCTATCTTTTTATCTAAGAGGAAAATTCCTGCACAGTTATATTATATACAAAGCAAGTTTTCTAAATTGATATGTATGGTAGTGGTAGGCATAAATATTTATAATCTTCATTCATTATTAACTTTGACATTAATAAATATAACTTTTCATTTTGTCCTTTTTTAGAATTTCCCCCCAAAAAGAAAAATCTGCTCAGAAGTGAAAGTTTAGCTGATGATTGCATATTACTAATGAACATTTTACAAGCTTTCTTGACCAGCCCTTTCTCATTCCTGACTTATTATTGTCTCCTCATTCCTTTTCCAAACCAAAATTAATGGAAAGTGATTTTTAAAATATGTTTGTCTCTTTTTTTTCTTGTGTTGTTCTGATAGTAGATAACTGTTTTCTGTTATTACCTAAAAAATAAACTTTAGGCATGCATTTTTCAATTTATCTTATAGTATTTTTTACTTTATGTGTTTAGGCTAAAAATATGTTTGTGTCCTCCAGCACACGACAACCCCAGGTTGCAGGCATTGCTGATTAAGAAACTGTGCCATGAAGAGGATTTAAGTCTGAGAATTAGGGTCATGTAAAATGCCTACCATTTAACAAATCAAAATTAAAAAGGTTAAATGGAAGTTAGAAACAGTAACTAACAACATAAGTTGTACTTGACTGTAGTGTTAGATTGAATAGTATATATGTCTTATATCTTGCAAATAAAAAAATTGGGAACTTTCAAATCTCTCACATACAATCAGTTTTACATTGAACTTAAACACATTTTTTAAAGTTTGTCACAAACACTTTTTCTTAAAAATTATAATTAAAATATTAACACAATTTTGCAAAATATCAATTGAGACAAAAAGTCCATTTTAGTACATTTGGAAAAAAAAACATTAAAAAAAAATAACTTGAAAGGAAATTTAAATTCTAAACTTTTTAAAAAAAGAGCATTGATTTGTTGTATTGGAATTTTTATTTGAAACTTTCTGGTCCACGAACGTCTATTGTAAATAGTGTGTAATATTTGTGTAATAAAATACTTTAAATTGCATTTATCTGAATATGTCAATTGCATGGTTTACATTGGGAACAATGTTTAAGGGACCTTTATCAAATGCTAGATATTAAGTCTGTGTATTAATTAAATAATTTATAACATTAATCTTCACATGAGACAATTGTATATGATGATGTACAAAAGTTTAGGCTTGGGTTAAAAAGGGTGATAAAACTACTCACTTTACGAATTCCTATAAATATATTGACTAAACTTTGCCAATAATCTTTAAATAAATCAAGAAGGAAACATTTATTTTCTTGATGAAAATACCTATTTAACACCAGGCTCTGAGGACACTATTTGAATCCCTTTCAAAACGGTGCCACAGAACAAAGTCACACTATATTCTAGAATCTAGATGAACATGGGTTTTCTTCAGCTCAGATGACCTAAATTCTTCATTGTAAATTCTCAGTTAATGGGTCGATCCAAAAACTAAAATATAATTGAGACATGAGATATTCATTTGTTTGTACCGGTATAAACAATATAAATAAATTTAGAAATTTATCAAAAGAAGTTTAAAAAAATTATTTATTTCTTGTCCGTTGTCACTAACTAAAAGAATATATATTTATTCTCTCATAGTAGAAAAGTTTACTGTGGTATAGATTATTTCAATTATCAATTAACAACTAACAATGCATAAAATTTTTCTTTTGTTCCAACATCTAAAACACATTAGCAAGAGGAAAAACTCATGTATCAATATCAGAAAAAAGTTACCATAACATAAGGTCATGTCACATATTGTGTCATAGAGTAACATTAGTAAGGAATACACAATGGGTATACGTCATTTCTTGACATGAAGTAAGTTCTTATAGACAATAATTTCATAAAACTTACAGTCCTCACTGATAAAATGAAGAAACCAATGGGTCTTTTCAAACATCACCAGATGTTATGAACTTTAGAAGGACTATATCCAAATAATGAAGTCCCATACTGTTATATATGATTTATAAATATAATAAAACAGTTCTATTGTGACTGTTACTGTTGGTTCATTAAATTTAATGTCACACTTTAATAGGCAATATTATGTGCTATTCCACGTAAATAGTCCTCAGCCTGAATATTGGGTTCAAAAGAATTGACAATGCGAGTGAGTCTTTCTGCTGAATCTTTATATTGTTTTCTTCCTGGAGGAGGCTCTTGACCACTGATGTATTGTTCAATACGAAGTTCGTTCAAACTTTGTTCACGTTTGATAGCTTTTATAAATTTCCAAATGTTGGGGTGGTCAGCGCAAACTTGGTTTTGAAAGCCCCTGTGCCAACCTTCAAGAGCACTGTTGGTTTTTGGCAAACCTTGTTGACTAGCATCAAAGCAATTCCACATATGAAGGGGAAATCGAGGTGGATGGCGGTGACTATGATTAGGTCAACCGATCCATGTGTCCTCAAAATAGTCAACAACTACTTGAGCTTCAGGGGGTAAAATATTTCTGTTGCAAAGTAACTCAAAATACTCTACCACATGTTGTGTAGGAACAAATGCTAAGGCAGCTAACATTCTTATCCTTAATGCAAATTCGGGGTCACAGTTGTAATATAGCTTCAAGCCATTTGTTTGCAAATTTCTATAGATAAACTGGCAGAAGTGAAAAAAGCATCCTCGAATAATTGTTTGAGGGAACTCAACATTTATGGCATTTACCATTGCAAGCTCAAAGTCTATGAGAAAAGTTTGAGGATTACAAGCAGACTCCAAGTCTTTGATAGCTCTTAAAAGTTATATATAACTTTGTACAGTTTTGTTTGGAAGAAGTGCATAAACTAATTGAGCAGCAGTATGTTCACGTAACCCATGTATTGTATACAATTGTTCAAATAAAGTTGGTACCATTTTAAAAGTACCATTTGCATACCAGTTTTTTGAGCTTGAAAGTAAACATAGGTTATTCCTGGTTGAAATATTAAAATTCTGTCATCCACCGGCCCAAAATAAAACAGTAAAAAGTCTTCACCATTCTCTGTAGAAATATATTCGCTAAGGAATCTAATGTCCCTCCTATGAGTAGGAATAGCTGGACCCCGAGTCTCTTTTATTCTATGATTTCTTATGTTTCTTTTCATAGCTTCAACTGAAGGCAGTTGACGTTTCGTTGCTGGTGTTAAATTTAGTGAACATTAGATAAAATATAATGCGGAGATTCGCATGTCGTTATAGCGTCTCTTTTAATCTGGTTCATAACATCAACTACAAGTTTTATTTTTATTTTTTGTGCTTGTAACAGTTATCCTCTGACAAGGATGCCATTTTGAATACTTGTCATTTAAGGACTACCCATCGGTTTGATGCCACTAATTACCGAACAAAATTTGAGCTTTTGTTGTTAGAAATCAGTGTTGTCCCTCGTCACACATTTAAATAAGGTTATCCGATTTTCTAAGAATTTTTATAAAAACGGGGCTAAGATTGAGATAGAAAGAAAAACTGTTCGAAAGAATACATTTTAAAAAAAGACGTTTTAGTTGTGGTATTTAAATGTTAACTTGATAAGTTAATTTCTCAATGATTAAATAGCTACTGTTTCGTATTTTTCTGTTTGAAAAAATTCCTTTCGTACACACATCCTTTCGAACACAGGAACAGATCTCCATAATTCTCACTACAAGTCTTAAACATAAAATTTATTTACAAGAAAAATAAAAAGAAGAATCGAACAAAATTCAGCTTGAACAAACTAACAGTGGAACAAATTACACTATCCACATTTCTCCCTGGCACCTCTTAGATTTAAAAAACAGGCACTTCTTAGATTTAAAAAACAGGCACTTCTTAGATTTAAAAAACAATCAACCAAAGTTCCATTCGATCAAAGTCCAGTTCTCCCAAATTTTCGTTAGATCAAACTTCCGTTCGATCAAATTTCCGTTCGGTCAAATTTCCTGTCGATCAAATTTCCTTTCGGTCAAACTTCCAGTCGGTCAAACTTCCTGTCGATCAAATTTCCGTTCGGTCAAACTTCCGGTCGATCAAATTTCCGTTCGACCAAATTTCTGTTCGATCAAACTTCCATCGATCAATTTTTGGTCGACAAAATTTCCGGATACATATAAAAGCGTCTCAAAACCCTATGGGTCACGATAGCGTCAAAATAGCCTCATATCCAAGTACCTATTATAGGTATAGGGAACTCTCATACTTGACATATGTTGCCAGTTTACAAGTTACAAGCCATATTTAAATTCCATTATGTTCTTCAAAGGGGAGCGCCTTGCGAGAAATCCCATAGTTATATTAATGTTATTGCTGACAAGTTCGCTGTTTCGTTGCATTCTTTTTTTCTCAAGCTTTCCCATACTTTATTTCGCAAATTTCCATTTTCCTAGCCAGATTGCAGTCTCTTCCTCTTATTACCATCAAATTATGTAACATTAGCTGATTTGATATAGCAGGCAGATGCGATGTTGATGGGCTTTTCAATGTGGCTATCAAATGTTATTTTCCATATTTATGTTTGGGAGTTAAGTGCTCACTTATGTTTCTTCCCCCAGTTTTGTAATAATGGTTGACCTTTACTCCCCTTGACCCAAATAGTATCTCTATAATTGTGACCAATTATGAACTAATAAATTAACATGAATTTTGAATTATAATAGGTATTTTAATGCAAAATCGATATTAATCAGTGATCAGCCCATTGGTTTATCATGCAGCCCTTTTTTGTGGATCATTATTAAATGCCAAAATAACTCAACTTCAACATGTGCTTTCATACATTTTGATATATATAGTGTTATATTGAGCATATTCCTCAATTTATGTCATTTCTTCTCAGCAGTCGAAAAAACCAAAATGGTAGAGTCCTAATTCAAACTTTTGAGCCATTTTTGCAGTGATTTGATTGAACCCCATAGTTATGTTCAAAGACATTCAAAAGAATGGCATTAAAAGCACCTTTCAAGTTTAATTATAATTGAAAACATGTGGGCTTCAAGGAATACATTAAATTATAGCATATGTCATAACATATGAAATTATGAGGGTCTGGAGTTAATTAAGAATGGCTCATATTGTGTATCATATGTACCTAGTTATAGATAGAGCAAGTGTGAATTAACTACCTTCTGCTTATACTTATAGTTCATACTCCACATAATCTTTGGCTATTGTTTAAATCTCTACGGATATCAGTGAGAATTAGTACTGGTAAATCATACATTTTTTAATGATTATCCCTTTGATGGTCATAAGAGAAGTACACATCAGGTGATATTAATTTGTGGAAAATTATATGCAAACAGGCTAATAGAATCCATTTATTCCATATTTTGAAGTGGCATAAACAAAATGTCATTGATATTCAGATAAATTACAATTTCATTGTTCACAGAAATATGTACCAAATCAAAGACAATGCAAATATATTATTTTATTTTGGCTTTCCTGCCAACTTCATATGTCACCTTTGTCTGGTCCATAAGATCAACACCACCCATATGTTGATTATATTTATGAATTTTCAAAGGGCAGCGTACATCTGCTACTCATCTTTTCAGGGTTGTTGTAGGAGTTGGTTAAATTAATTTGCTCAACATCACAACACTTCTTCTGTCTATCAATTTCACACAGGCAATCCCACAACTGGAAATAGCACAAATAAACCCTTTTTTCATGTTCTCATAATTTGCCAGGCAGGTTGGCATATATCTTTGATTCACACGAACCATTCCACAAGCTTGAATGTGCTTTTCTGCAAGGATGTACTGAAAATTCAAAGAGTTGAAGAAATTATTATAAACTACTTGGCATCCTGTTCCGTTCTGGGTAATCATTCAGTAACATGCAAGGTTATCGACTCTCCCAAATTATGCTCCACATACTGGGCTTTCTTGCCAAGATATGGTTCAACTTGATAAAAATATCCAGTATGAGCTTCACATCTCCACCACTATTTTGGCTGAAAAGCTGATGTTGCTTTACTGGCCCTTATTTTGCTGACAGACTATAATTACAACTTATAACATTCAATTTTTGATGAACTTGCCTTCTTTGAATGACTTTTCTACCATAGCAATCATTTCACTCACCATGTAACTAGCTTCAACTGCTGCATCACTTTCTTTCTTTGCTTTATTGACAAATTCTAGCTGACTCACTAGACATGTTTTAAGTTTAATCACCCAGGGTTCTCTCTTGTATTTTGCCTACTCTTCAGCATGTCTGGTTATATAATGTGATGTCTGATGTTGTACTCCTTGTGCACCGCAATTTTCTGTTAGTTACATTTTAGTTACATCAAATAAATTTACATTAAATTTGGCTAAAAGAATTAAAAATCTCTGCACATACTTATGCTTGTTTGTTCCAAAAATTAGGCCAACAAGACATTAAACTCAAATATTGAGCATCACATCATCCCTAAACTCCGCAAGTGGACCCGGCCGTCACATTATGTATCATTGTTAACGGCACTGTATCCTTAGTAAGAAGATAAAATTCCCAGTGATCTAAAGTAAAAATAGTCAGCTAATAAATGCTATGAAAGTAATGAGCTTCTGGTAAACAAAGGCGACAAAAATACTGCAATTCCCACTAGCGATTTTAAATCTAAAATGTGTTCAAATAGAATGCAGGAGCAGGCAATGTTTATGAATTATTGATGTGAAGTAAGATGCTTTTTAAGATTTTTTTTTTTTATTTTAGAAAAGGACTTTTAAACTTAAACTAACCCTATTTTAAAAGTGACCAAGCTGACAGGCTCAGAATTTCCCTCACTCATACACTGTGTCTGCAATTTTAATAGGGATTCTTTGATACTGTGTCAGATTGCTATGATTTACACAATTTTGGTTGTGCATGATACATGTATTAATCGGTGACCGGACAACTGAACGCACGACAGGTGAACCCACTTTTTAAACTTTTGATATATGTAATACATTATTCAAAGCGTGCTTTCTCAAAATCGCACTTTCCCCATGTTTGTCTCATAAAATGATATAAAATAAACACTTTTAATCCGATTATAGAAAGTTTTTGACCATTATAATCAACGTCCAAACCTATACAAACGTAATAAAATTCAGAACTAGATCAGTGGGTGAGATTCTACTGAAACCGTTGCAAAGGGTCACATTATAGAAATGAAAATGTGGATAAAGAGCGGGCAGCATTAATACTAAACTATCAGGCCGCAAAATATTGTTTTGCGGGCCGCGAGTTTGAGTCCCCTGATCTATAGACTAATACTGAGTATGTTATGAAAGAATGTATTGAAATGAATGATAAGTGGGTGCACTTTCCTTGCCATATCATCAGGATCATGCCAACCATTGTTATCAATAAAATGCAGAGCTGCTCAAATGGCCTCCAATTGCTGAAAAGGCATAACTTGGGTGATTTATGGCACCGCCATGCCGGGTTTTGTGGACAGGTTGGACCGTAACGTTGGCATTGGCAGAGAATGGTAACTCATGACAAAAGTCACACTAATAAATGCCTTCATCTCAGCAGGGTCCTGTCTATTTATTCAAGTTAAGCATACTTTGTACTTATATTTCATTTACACAACTTGAATGCAGTCCATCAATTATTATCTATGGCGAAAGTGTTTCCTTTCTATTTTTTTCCATGTTAAAGTGTTAGTAAGCCTGTGCTTTCTTAGAATCTCTGAACATAAAAGGTCTATAGGTCTTGTGCCATGTGAAAGTTATAAATGATAATAGAGAGGAGTTAGCAGGAACAGCTAGTTCTGGGAACTAACTGCAGAAGCACTGTCATTTCCCTAATATTTTAGCCTTGACTGGGGGTTCAATAACATCTGTTCCTTTGGAAAATTCTTGATCTTCTGTTTCCAGTGCCAAGCTAGTCTCATCCCCACTATTATGAGATTTCAAATACCGGTATTGAATAATTTCATCATCATCAATGTAGAAGTGTTATATTATAATGGAATCTGAAGTAGAATGAGTGAATCACATCTGTATATCTAATACTAATAGACACAAATGTGTCTTCCCTCAACTATCATGTAATGTTATGTGTCTTTATGCTTATTTTGCAACTTAAAATCGATTTTATCTACACCAGGCCTGCACAACCCACAATGTAAGGCGGGCCATAATACTTCATGAAAAACTTGTGCGGCCAAAAGAAAATGGGGGGGGGAGCTATTAAGAAAATAATAATAATAAAGAATATTTTGTTACTTACGAAGTAAATTTAATGTGAAACATTGCATCGTTTTTCAGTAACAAGTTTGTCGTATTCAGGAGATATATTGGAAGTGGCTGTTCTCAAGATGTCTTCCAAATAATCATCAGTCAAACATGAGCGTTGCTTGCATTTATTAATGTTCATTATTGAAAATGTCTGTTCACATAGATAAGGGTTTCTAAACACGATTAAAGTTTTTAGTGCAACTTCGTAAATATTTTTGTACTTGTCACGGTCCAGATTTTTATAAAATTCCTACAGGCTGCTCTCTCTGTGCTTGCGTCGATAAATTGCCGAAAATTGTAGTTCGATAACCTCCAGCTGCAGTTGAAATGGTATGTCCTCGGGTTTCACAGAAAATGGATCTTCAATTAGTTTAAAATGAGTTTCTTCTTCTTTAGAAAGAGTGAGTCTTTTATCATATTCTTCTATCAAAATTTCATTTCATTAGCAAATTGTTTTCCCAACTCTACATGCTTGTCCTGAGGAATATGTTGTGCACAAGGGAATCATTTCATCATTTAGTAACTGGGTTTTAAAAAGTGTCATTTTCAGTTTAAAAGCTTTTACTGCTGCAAACATTTCAAATACAAGTAGTTGCTTACCTTAAAGTTGAACGTTAAGGCCATTTAGATGTGTTGTAATCTATCGGCATCCTTCCGTCTCGTGAGACGATGGTGCATCACCGTTTGGTTGGGTTGCATTTTCTCGAGTGGCTGTGCAGTCCTATCCTTGAGTGACAGTCTTTACCACAGTTTTTACACACGAGTTCCGTGCTTCTAAATGTTTTGGCCTTTCTCCTAGCTCTTCTGTCTGCAGCCTCTTCCATTCTTCGCTCCTCGGTTACCATGACGCCCTCTTTGACAACTGTGCGCCACGTAGATCGGTCTTTTGCCTTACACTCCCAGTCACTTGTATGTATTTTGGCTGCTTTCATGTCCCTTTGACAGACATCTTTAAATCGCAGACGTGGGTGACCTGTTTTCCTCTTTCCCGAAGCAAGTTCACCATATAGGAGGTCTTTCGGAATGCGGCCGGGACTCATTCTTTTAACATGACCTAGCCACCTCAGGCGTCTTTCACTAAGGATTGTGAACATGCTAGGCTACCATGACGCCCTCTTTGACAACTGTGCGCCACGTAGATCGGTCTTTTGCCTTACACTCCCAGTCACTTGTATGTATTTTGGCTGCTTTCATGTCCCTTTGACAGACATCTTTAAATCGCAGACGTGGGTGACCTGTTTTCCTCTTTCCCGAAGCAAGTTCACCATATAGGAGGTCTTTCGGAATGCGGCCGGGACTCATTCTTTTAACATGACCTAGCCACCTCAGGCGTCTTTCACTAAGGATTGTGAACATGCTTTGGGTATTCGCACGCATTAGGACCTCACTATTAGTCACTTTTTCTTGCCATTTAATACCAAGGATGCGACGCAGGCATCTCATATGGAAGCTATTAAGCTTGCGCTCTTGGGATGTATAGGTGGTCCATGTCTTGCTCCCTTATAGTAGTGTACTGATGACACAAGCTCGATAGACGCACAGTTTGGTTTTCTCCGTTAGCTTGGTGTTTTGCCAGACCCGTTTATTTAGTTTAGCCATTGTGGCAGCTGCCTTGCCGATTCTGCTGTTAATTTCTCCTTCAATGGACAGTGTGTTGGAGACCTTGGACCCCAAGTAGGTGAAGCTGTCCACAACCTCCAAGTTTTCGTTATCGATTTTTATGTTAGGTGGAGGTCGAGTGTCTTGGGTCATGATGTTTGTCTTTTTCAAGCTGATTTGCAGACCAAATTCTTTGCAGGCATTAGAGAAGCTTGACACGAGTTGTTGCAAACCAATTTCTGTGTGTGCAGTTAGAGCCGCATCATCCGCAAATAGTAGCTCGCGAATTAGGACATCTGTCGTTTTGGTCTTGGCTCGGCGGCGGGCAGTGTTGAAAAGTCCTCCATCAGCTCTGGTGTGTAACCAGATTCCCTCACTGCTATCCTTGAATGCGTATCGGAGTAGTACAGAGAAGAATATTGCGAACAGTGTTGGTGCGAGTACACAACCTTGTTTAACTCCGCTGCTGACTGGAAAGGCTTCTGACTTGGCTCCGTCGAACTGCACTGTACCCTGCATATTTTCATGGAACTCTCTGATGATGGCAAGTAGGTGAGGGGGACAGCCGATTTTTGCCAGTATTTTGAATAGCCCGTTGCGACTGACGTAATCAAAGGCTTTTGTAAGGTCCACAAAGGCAATGTACAGTGGCATCTGCTGCTCTCTGCATTTTTCCTGGAGCTGTCGTATGGAGAACACCATGTCTATGGTAGACCGGCCAGACCGGAAACCGCACTGAGATTCTGGATAGACACGGGATGCTAGACTCTGTAAACGTGTTAGTATGACACGGGCAAAGGCCTTTCCTACAATACTAAGGAGTGAAATGCCGCGATAATTATTGCAATCACTCCTATCACCTTTGTTTTTATATAGTGTCACTATATTTGCATCCTTTAGGTCTTGGGGGATGTAGCCCTGTTCCCAGCAGAGGGACAGAATCTCGTGCAATGGTTGGAGTAAAGCTATCTTACCACTCTTTAGAGCCTCTGGTGGTATTCCATCATCCCCAGGCGCTTTTCCACAAGCTAGGCTATCAATAGCTTTGCTCAGCTCTTCCTGTGAGGGCACGACATCAAGTTCTTCCATGAGTGGCATATCTGGTATGTCATCTAGAGCGGTGCTGGAGACTGTGGTAACTGTTGAATACAATTCCAGATAATGCTCAACCCACCGTTTTAGCTGTGCTGCCCGGTCTTGGATAATTTCTCCATTTTTGGACTTTAGAGGAGCAACTTTGGACGTCAAGGGGCCAGTTGCCTTTTTGATGTTTTCGTACATTGCTTTTGCATCGCCCATATCTGCAGCTGACTGTATGCTGGAACAGAGGTTAAGCCAGTAGGTATTGGCGCAATTACGTGCAACCTTTTGGGCAAGTGACTTGGCTGTTTTTAAGGCATGCAACCTGTCGGGTGTAGGCTTTTCCTTGTAAGCCGTAAGAGCTTTCCTTTTGGCTTCAGTGACAGGTTTCATCTCGTCCCAATGTTCATCAAACCAGTCCGTGTTTTTGTGAGATTTTTTGCCAAAGGCCTGTATTGCGGATGTATAGATTGTGTCTCTGAGATGCGTCCATTTCGAGTCAATGGTGACGCATGGGGACATCCTTGAGATACCTTCCTTCACCTTGTCTGTGAACAGCTGCGTTAGCGCAGGGTCTTTCATGCAGAAGGTATTGATACGTGGACATCCCTTTTTCTTGGAGTGGTACGAGTTTTTCCTCATTATTCGTACCTTGCTGGCGACAAGGGAGTGATCCGTGTCACAGTCGGCACTGTGATAGCTGCGAGTGAGTAGGATGCTAGCTAGTTGTGCACGCCTGGTGATGATGAGGTCCAGCTGGTGCCATTGGCGGGATCGAGGGTGTCTCCAAGATACTTGATGTATATCCTTGCACTTGAAGTAAGTGTTGGTCACACACAAGCCTCGTGAGCAGCACAATTCCAGAAGCCTCTGTCCATTTTCATTAATCTTTCCTCTTCCAAAGAGTCCAAGGCATGTGGGCCAGGCTTCGTGGTCGCTCCCCACTCTAGCATTGAAATCTCCCAGGAGGTAGATTGCCTCGTCTTTGTGGATGCTGGCTATTGCCTGGTCTAAAGCTCCATAGAACTGGTCCTTCTCTTCCGGAGTTGAACAGAGAGTTGGGGCATATACACTAAGAATGGTTGCTGGGCCCGCAGCTGTTCTGAGTCTTAGAGTGAGGATCCTCTCCGTGCCTGATGACGGGGGATCAATGAATGGTGTAAGAGTGTTCTTAACAGCGAAACCTACACCATGCTGTCTAGGTTCGTTTGTTGGTCTGCCTTGCCAGAAGAAAGTGTAATTTGCCTCTTTGAGTGAACCGTTGTCTGGGAGCCTGGTCTCCTGAAGGCAAGCTATGTCAATCTATAGCCTTTTAAGTTCTCTATCGATTATTCCTGTCATCCGTGTGTCGTTTATTGACTGCGGGTCATCAGTGATGCCGGGACACATAGCCCTCACGTTCCAGCTAGCGATTCGAAGAGCTGGGGTCTTCTTTTTCTTTTTTGTGTTTCTTGGTGCAGGCCTGGGCGGGTATTATGGAGAATTAGCTGCTGCCCATACAGCGTATCCACCCTCTCCACGTCAATGGTGTAACCAAGGGAACGACTTGCGTCGATGCGGCTTGGCTGCCGTTGGCGTCGCAGGAGCTGCCGGTATGTACATAAGAGTCTTATGTATAGACCGCCTGTAGGTGCTCCATTTCCTGATTTTCTGTCGGGGTTTACTCCCTTAGCCTTTCCCGAAGGGTATAGCCGCAAGGCAGCGGAGGATTTTTGTAATATCACAAAAGAAGAAGAGGTCATGATTCCAGGACTCATCTTCAAGCTCAGGGAATTCCTTTACTTCGTCTTCTAGGAAGTTAGATATTTATTTTTTCAAAGCAACGAATCGCTGAACCATCTCACTTCTACATGGTATATTACATCTCTGTAGTCGGCGTCTATATCTTCAAGAAAATCTTTAAAAGTCCTATGTTTGAGTCCTCTTGATCTTATGTGGTTGACTATTTTGACAACAATCGACATAACATATTCTAAATGTAACACTTGGCTACACAAAGCCTGAAAATGTATAATGCAATGATATTTTGTTATTTGCCTTCTGATAAAATTTTCAAGGAGCGCAACAGGTCCCTTATTAATACCCGTCATATTCCACGCACCATCGGTACAAATGACCACTAATTTTATAAAATGCAATCCCAAATTATCTTTCATGCACTTTATCACCTCATTGAAGTTATCTTTTCTGGTTGTGTGACCTGACAAGGAGCACATTCCAGCGAGTTCTTCGGTAATTTCACACCGTTTTTGTCAGCAACTCTAATGAAAATGAGAAGTTGGGCGGTGTCTTTTAAATCTGTCCTTTCGTCCATAGCTAGAGGATAAAAAGAAAAATCACAAGCTTCCTGCATTATTGTTCTTGAAGATGGGTGGAAATATCAGTTATTCTTCTTTGTTCTGTCATTCGCGATAAACACTTGAAATAATATCAGCATGCACTCCTTTAAAAATTCGCCTTCAGTAAAGGATTTACCAGCAGTAGCAATTTCCCTTGAAATACAAAAGGTTATCTTGGTAGCAGTCTTATTTTCACTGCTCTTTTTCTTGAAAAATGTCTGCTCTCCAGTAAGAGTTTTTGATAAATTCGCTGCTTTAATGGATTTTTCATTTTTGAAAAAAATTAGGATGTTTAGATTCAAAATGCCATCGAAGATTATACGCTTTTGACGCAGCAACTGTTTCACGACATACGAGGCACAGTATTTTGTCCTTGAATACTAAAAAAGTATTTATTTGTACATTCAGGATTAAAAATTCTGTGCTCTATCTCTAATATTCTCTTTCTGATTTGATTTATGGCGCTTAAATATTTCAACTATATGTCTATAATATTACAAAAATAGTAAAAGGCTAGGGAATATTAATTTATAATATATTATATTTTTTCGCCAAAGTCAAAGTCTTCGCGGGCCACAAAGTGGGTTCTCACGGGCTGTATGTTGTACACAAATCTGACCAAAAAAAACAACAAAGTAATATTATTTTTAAAATAAACTCACATGAAATATCCAGCATGGCACGTCTGTGAAACAAGTACTGTTAATTAGTCACGAAATGGTGGTTTAAAGCACATGGACAATATGAATGGCCTTTTGCATTGGTCCAGCCATCATTGCATTTGTAAATAACCTACAGGTATGCATTTTAATATGAGGGACATGTTTGTCCCATATGCGCCAAAGTGACTCAAAATTACAGGGTTGTACAAAAAGATTTTATTAATTGTGACGCTATTAATATTAAATGTTATTAATAAACTTGATGAAGTAAATTTTTTATTGAGCATTATTTTTGCTTTCCCATTAGACTACTTGAACAATGTTTTCAATTGTGTGTTACTAACTGTTATACTGGTACTAACATCTTAAAGTTTTATTTTCTTGCCATTGCTAATTTCTTCATTCAGGTACTACTACCATGGCTGCAAGACAGTTTTTAACTACCAGCATGCGTTTCAACTCAAAATCTCCTGGTCACATCATTTTATGGAACAGATCTATAAATACCACCTGTGTTTTGTCAAACACAAGACTCCAGATAAAAGTTCAAAAAGAGCAACTAACATACTCAAATTCAAATGGAATTTCATCTCTATATCAACCATGCCAACTACTGCCTATGAGAAATGCAATTCATGAAATTACCAATGGCCTTATGACAGATAGCAAAAAATTTACTACTGGCTCCTCCTTAAATTTTAAATCCATCCCTAAGACACAACTCAAGGCTTCTAGCACATTGCAAAATTATGAAAGAAATTTAGGTAAACTTTCCAATGTTCTTCCCAATTTTAACAATTTGAGATTTGTTTCTTTCAAAAGTTTGTTTTCTACTCCTTATCCATTTATGGTTTATGGTCTGGGTGGTCTGATTCCCTTTTTATCAGCCCCTTTGTATATGCATTGGACTGGCTATTATTCTCCCAGCATAGCATATGCCCAATTAGTATATGGTGCTTGTATTTTATCTTTTCTTGGAGGTGTGTCATGGGGGAGTGTCTTAAATAATGCCAATAAGGCTAGACTCGCCTCTTTAAGTTACAGTATTTTGCTGCCCCTTGCAGCTTGGCCTGCAGTCTTAATTTTCCCTAATATTTCAAGTTTTCCATTACTCATTGGTGGCCTGTCTTATGCAGGATACAAAGATACACAAAATGTTCATTACCCACGCTGGTTTGCCAATTTGAGACTACTACTTAGTACAGTGGTTGTTATGACTTTATCCACAACTTTCATTTTTCAATTTACAAAAGATACAGTCAGTACTCAAATTGGTGAGGCTAAAATTCTTTCCCCATCAATCAGCGAAAAAAATGCTTAAAATTAAATTAAACCTAATTGAGTCAAAGCGCCTAGGCAGTGCATTTTTTTTTTATAAATGTGGGGGACAAATAAAGAAATGTGCACCTTTTCCTCATCCCAAAATGCATCTGACAGTGACAATGAAAAAGAAACACAAAATGGACTGCACCTGTATTTTATGAAAGAATATTTTCATATTTATTTCATGAAAGAATATTTTCATATTTATTTCAGCTTTGCTTTTACTTTTAAAATGTGGTATTTTTGCACCTTGAGAATTTTCAGACCAGGTACAGCTGCACTGAGGACTTACTTTGTTTATTTCCTACGTGTTCATTAAATGTTTATAAGTTAATTTAATATTGATGGTATTTTTAAAAGAAAAAAAGAACATATATATGGTGTCTTACACAATTTTTGTTAATAAACCTGTAATGATTATTGTGCAATATTTATTAAAAAAAATTGTGGAATTAACTAATTCAAATAAGAAACACTGAGAAGGTTTTAGTGAGATTTAACCTTCATGCACGTGTCTGTTCACAAATTGTTACCAAACTTATTTCACCATGATACTATTTGGTATATTTTCTGACCTTTGAAATGAAATCATGGCTGTGTAAGCCACCACAGCCCAACTCACTGAAACTAAAATAACTACGTAAAAGTTAAAAAAATAATAATTTCAAGATCAGTTTTAATTTACATTGACCAATTTTATCTTGATTCCTTTTGATGTTTTTTTTTTATTTTAGCTCCAATTTATATCATACATTCATATCTAAATAAAAAAATAACTTTGGCCCTGGTGGTAAACAGCATGAAGAATGGAATGTTAAACTCATTTTACAGTGTTCTGTGATAGCTGCAGAAAATATCTTCTTAGATGTTTATGTTGAAATGAAAATCCTAAATTAATAAAGGGATTGATTGGTTTTTTGTCATTCAAATTGATTTACTTTAATATACTTTTGGACTTAATTGTTCATGTTATAGTTACCCAATAGCTGTTAAAGTTAAGTGCATATATCTGATTTTGAAATTAAAATAGTCTTATACTTATAAATTATTTCGTTCTTTAATTTTATTTTCCACAATTCATTTTTTTATCAGCTTTGGGGGAGGGTATTTAGATTTAAAATGCATTAGCATTCGGTTCTGACATTAGCTAATGTGACAGTCGTTTACAAAGGCTGACATCACTTACAGTTAAAAAGTTCATCTTCTGATACCGGTACATATTTTTTATTCACAATTATGATTTCTGAGGTGAAAAAAATTAGAATCCTAGTCAAGTAGGCAAATGTAAGTTTAAAAGTTAACCATTTACTATTGAAGGGAATAAACATTTTAAAGCAATGAATGGTCAAGAAATAAATTATATAGATACCTGTTTAAAAAAAATTAAAATTAAGTACTATAACATTAACATATGTCCATGGTTCAAATTTTAGTTATAGATATTTTCACATTTGTTCATTATAATTATAATACTAATTCATTCAAATTAATCTATGTGCCATCTTTAATCAGGTTTTCCAGGGTTTTATGACCATATCTCAAGCAATCAAATTTACTGGAGGAAAATACTGTTTGGGGGCTTTGCTGCTTTTTTTACACTGTCGCTTTATAGGAGACAAGCTAGGCTTCAATTAGAAAAATCCTTAAAAGAAGATAAGGAGCAAAAATTAAAAAAGAAAAAAGAGAAAGCTCTTCTTCTACTACAGGAAACTGAATGCTCCGGGGCAACATTTGTTTCAGATGCCAAAACAGCGTCAGAAAAAAATAAATTGGACCCCTGCAAAGGAAGTCCATTTTGTTATGTAAAGTTAAAAAAAGCATTGAAAAATGATCAAATTATTCAAGCTGTAGAATGTTTAGAGGATGAAACCTATGATTGCATTATTGAAGATGAATTTGATGATGATAACTATGCCCTTCTTTGAATGACTATAAATTATAAAGGTAGTATGGACATTAATTTGAAATGGAGTACCTGTAATAAAATAAAGTACAGGAAGTTAATATATTTATTAATTATTCATATAATTAATAAGGAGGGTTAATCCATATAATATGTATGCAATAAATTCATAGTTGTATCTGTGCATATGTAACTTAAACACCCAACACACCCACTCCCCCGCCCCCCCCGTGTACATACAATACAAAAAATGAGCTTATCAAAAGCTCACCAACTTTTTAGGGGGTGAATTTTTATCATTATAATTATATTATGTATATTATGTAATCTTTTCATTTAACTAGGAAAAGTTGCAGCCAACTTGATAATTGCTGCACAAGTCAGCTAAATCAAAATTATCCCTAAGCTGTGAAAAATTTCTACATACTGTACCATACAGTACAAAATTATAATGCAGTAAAAGAATTTACCTGTTCACTAGATAGCTGTGAGCAACACAAAAATCTACTAGTTGTTTAAATTGCAGTCTTTGGTTACATCATATATAGATAATATAGAACCATAAATGTGCACAATATTTATGAATGGCCCAGTACCATTATTTTAGAAAGTACTACTCTACCAGTCAATAACAAAAAATATAAAGATTAATAGTCCTTATAATCTACAATTAATTTAAATGAAATTCTTAATCCATCAGAATGTATAAATGTGACAAGACCATCAATCTGTCCTCGCATATTTACAGTTGAAGTTAAAAAAGAATAATAAATAAATGCATGATATGAACCACCTCTTTGCTTTTTATTTTGTCCCTCTTTTATTATGTGTGTGTTTTTTGTTTTAATATTTCAGAACCACAGTTTTTGAATGCCCAATTGAATTTTTAAAAATAAAATAAAATGTGAATGAGAAAAATAGTTCGAAATTGGTTAAAAAATCTAAAAACTAACAGTTGGCCAGTCCAATACTTCTCTTACAGAAATCATTATGGACAACCATGGTAAAAAAAAATAGCTGCCTCTTGTGCTGCAACAGGAGCTATACTAGGCTATTAGGGCAGTGGTTCTCAACCTTTCTAGTGCCGCGACCCCTTAATACAGTTTTTTGTGTCGTGGCGACCCCCCAGCCACATAATTATTTTCGTTGCTACTTCATAGCTGTAAGGATATATGTTTTCAGATGGTCTTAGGCGACCCCTGGAAAAGGGGGTCGCGACCCACAAGTTGAGAACCGCTGCTATAGGGTGTCTGTCAAAGTATTATCAGCACAAAACTTTTAGTCTATAACTACTGTACTACTAAAGCTTTTCTATTAAAGTTTAAACTTTCAAATAACAAGTATTTTGCTGTGCAAAGTCCTCAACAAATGGCTGTAAATATGGAAGAGTTCATTGAAGTTAACACCATATATGCCTGGTCTTATGAGTAAATGATAACAATAGGAAGCTAGATGCCCCAATCAAATACAGTTACAGGAAATTTATTTGAAAGAAATTTTGTCAACTGAAGTTTGATAGAACGGAAATTTTATCGAATTTTTTTTTTCAGTTCACTCATTACACTATATAGTAAAGCAAATTATTCAAAAAGAAATTTGATGCAAAATTTTAACATGTGAACTGAAAAAAAAATCCAACCAAACAGTATTATCTTCATTTAAAGTGGTGACATAGTATAATGTCACAGGGTTTTAATATTAAAAGGTTATTGATCAGTAATTTTGAAGAAGGAATAATGATTGAATATTGCAGTTTTTTTTCTTAAAACAAGCGGGAAGTAAATACTTAAGTTAAAGACTAAGTAAAACAACAAAAATAATAGTAATACTATTAATTAGTATGGTACAAAAATCAGTTTAATAAATATATTTCGAGAACTATTTATTTGCATCTATAGAAATAAATGAGAGAATCTGAACATTAGATTTTCCCCAGCTGAAAAAAATATAATTAAGTTTCATTTTATTTTCAGTTTTGGATAAAATTAAATTTAAATGGAAGAATCTTGAAATACTTATATCTCAGTCCTCTCACACTACTAAAATTGATATAAAATCAATTTGATTAACAACTGCTAAATGTATATGGTGCTTCTTTTATATTCCTCAACTGCATATTTTTTGGTGTTTTTATTAATTTTTTTGTTGTGTACTTAATATTTGATAGTCCATTTTAAATATTTTTATTCACAATATATTATATATAAAGTGCTAAATAAATATGTTCTCCATACAAAAATGTATGAATGATAAAGAAAATATTTTCCATAGAAAATAGTTACCATAATTTGTATGGCACTTTTAATTTTTAAAATATTTTTTTTCCAGAAGTAGTCTCACATAGAGAACAAAATATTTAAAAATTGCATGTGCAAATATACTGCAAAGTTTTGACTTATTTTGTTTTGGCCCAACGCCAAGCTGAAACACATTTTTCAGTTTCATTTTGAATGAAAAGAAAAAGGCATGATAGGATTTTTTTTAAAGTTCCGTAATGCCTACTTACAGTTACAGTTATACATTTTCAAATATTCACACTACATGTCCCAATTATCACAAACAAATAATGATAAAGAAATAAAATCAAGTCTTTTAAAAATAATTTTGGATCCCAGGTACTGGTACCTGATTGATGATGCAACTTGATGCATAAAACACACCTATCAATACAATGCTTTCAACTTTAACTTTTATAAAATGCTTCATATAAATTATTTTAAAAATCTGAATCTGTCTTCCAGTTGTAATTAATAATCATATTTTTACTGAGTTCTGGCACTTCAAGTGGAAATAATGTCTATGGTTAGTGCAAGTGCAAGGAAAAAGTGAGATCTTTTATCCAAAACTTTGTGTTATTTATTTATTTCAATTATGAATGATTGTGAGCAAGAAAAGGTGATTTTGCCATCCATTGTTTTGTCTTGGTGTCCCATAAATATATCTGAATTGCAATGCTTCCTTACATTTATACAGTGTTACCTAGAGCTTAAGAATGTAGATCACCTAAAAGTAGCCAAAACATTTTATAAATGAATATATGATTTGGACCCCTCTCCCACCCATCCACCGCCCATCAACACCACTCAATTCCCCTTTCAAGGCAGATTTAACATATTTATAGATGGGCGCCAAACAATCACATTTCTCGATCCATTTACTGCTGGATGAAGAATGCAAATGCAAGTTAAAACTAAGAAACGAATATTTTCCTTTTAGTTATTATTTTTTGAATTGGAAAAGCTACAGGAATGTTTATATTTTCAACCCGGTCTCTTAAAATCGTATTCCTGAAGGGTCTTGGGGTACAATCGTAAGAGACATCTCAAAATCATACATTGTACGCCAAAATTGTAAGAGTAAACAGGTCTGTCGTTATGTTTTAAGATATTAAAGTATTATTATTAGTATTATTATCTCGCATCACTACTTAACCTATGTTTTTCATTACACCTAGTGAGGTACCTGGTAGTAGTCAATTTACCAGTCACATGATATCAGTGTACAGGCTTTACTTTTTAAAAAAAAGTTTGAATTATTATGAATTTTTTGACTATCTTTCACTACTTTCAGTAAAACTCATTTTTTTAAAGTTTAAACTAAGGTACAGTATATATTTATACATCTCTGTAACCATAGCCTACAATAAAATTTTGTTGTTGATATTATTGATGAAATGGTGCAACAAATTCATGATACAAATCTGTTTCCTGTAATGTTACGTTACAAATTACAAGTTGAAATTACCGTACTCAATTGAAAAAATATCTAACACTCACATAATTTTTTTTTAAATTTTTTGTTAGGTTTGTTTTGGTGTTTAAAACTAGTCCTAATGTTTTCAAACAATTATGCCTGACAAATTTTCTGCAGAAGCGGTAGTGGTACTGAGTACGAAACTCTAATTATGCCAGCTATACATCAAAACATAAGAATAAAATAAAAGAACAATCACCTTTGCAATTTTCAGAGTGAGTGGTTTAATTGTTGTACGAATTTTATATTATCCATACCTTTAAATTACATGTAACTGTACATAATGATGAGTAGACTTGAGGCTTAGTTTTACTTCAGTGAAAAAAATATACCGTACAAAAAGTTTATTTCATTTATACTTTATAAAGTTTTTTTAAAGTTAAAAATAATTAAGATTATTAGGAACATTAATAGATACTTTGTGAGAATGATTTACATTAAAAAATTTTCAGGGTTTAATTACTACATATCAATTATTGAAAGCCACAGGTACCCAAATAAAATAAGTGTAATACAAATTCATTAATGCAACAAATCTAAAGAATATGACATGATCATTAACTCTTTTTCCTCTTTTTAAATTTCTAAATATTATCTCGCAACAGACTTTCAAATATTTTACCTAAAAAATACTGGTACCCGGTATATAACTCTTACCTTTCTATTTCATATGAGTCTAAATAAAGATTTATTCATTTTTCTTCAAAATATTTAAGATGACAATGTTATGCTTTGTGCAAATAATATAATAAGCCCTCTAAAAATTAGAAACCCGGTACCAGAAGCTTAAGAAGCTCGTACTGCCATTTGTTAACACCAGTGAGAAAATATTTATTTTGCAGACTTCTCTTTTTGAAGGTTGATTGTAAAGGGTACCAAAATTTTTGGTCCCAGTATCAGAGAAAGCAATTCTATATTTCTAGCCTAATTTTTATAAAATAAATAAACATAAATAATTTAATGTAATTACAATTAAAGTCATATGCCATCTAATGATGTCTAGAGTAACTTTGGTAGTTGTTTCAACTTAGCAATGTCCAATATATTTTCATCCTCTATACTTGCAGCTGAATGCAAGACTTGCCTTGTAACATCTTGAAATCCTTGACCTTTAACCTCCCTCATAACATTTCGAGACTGGTAGCCCTTAGTCACATCATTGCTGTCATAGTGTGGATTAGACTTATCTCTATTATATTGCCTAGGAGCTGGCAAAACAGGGGAGGCACCAAGATCTATTGGCACAGCATTTTTTACTTTAGCTGGTAACCAGTTTTCATTGTTTAAAGGGGCCGTTTCTTGTGTCATGACAGGTGGAAAAACATGTGTTCTGCTCTTTTTAACACTCTCAGAACTTTGTGGAATCTCCAAAGAAGTTTCATAAGCGACACTTCCTATTCTGCTAGTGAATAAGCTAGTTGAATCTTCACCTCTGGCAGTTAGAATACTGAAATCTGTTTTCAATTTTGGCACTTCCCACAAAGAGACTTGTTCAGAGTTACAAGGGGCTATAACTGACATGTCATTACCTAAAAGACCATGCTTTGCTAAATACCTTTTCGTTGCTATTGTCATGTTACAAGGAGACAAGCCCAACAGGGCTGAATTGTGAGTGGATGAAGCATTCCTGTTATGTGACAAAGCTCTTTGCAACATATCAGTTGTTGTTTTTTTTTTATAGAACTTATCCCCCTCTTGATGAAACAATTTAGCGATTTCTGGGAGCTGATCCTCAGGAAGGTATTTAAAAGCCATGTTACGTATCTCCACAGACTGGTCAGCACTTGAACCACATCCCAGCAACATGGACACATAATTGATTTGTTGTGCTAAAGTGGCATTTACCGAGTCTCCATAGCTGTTAGAGAAAGATAAAACCAAATGATTAAATCAGATAAATGTTTTAAAAATTACACAATCCATCAATTTCTTTAACACTAGACTGGCTTTGCTATTTTCAATTTTACTAAAAGAAGATGAATTGCTTGCAGAGAATAATACCTAGCAATATCTGTCCCTTACATTTTGTTTTTGATTTGTCCTATAAATATGGAATGTGAAGGGACTTCTAAAATTGAAATACATTCCAAATGTTCCTGATAAAACCTACTTGACTGAAAATGTTTCTAAACTTGCTTCAGCTTGGCTAACATGGACAGAGGGTTCAAGATCACAGTTTGCGCTGTTTGTCAAAAAAAGCTGGATGTTGTTCTGAAATGAGATGAGTTACTATCCAAACTGAGGTTATGTCATATGCAAGTGTTGAATTTATATTCAGAAAGACAAGAATGACATGCCTAAACTAAGAGTCAAAGAGCAGTAAGATCTTTCAGATTAGCATTTCAAATTTACAATTATTCAAATGAGGGGTGCAGCCTCTTAAGTGACTTTGTAAATTCTGCTACTTACCATCAGTTGACTGTAATATTGTCTGGGATCTGTTGCATCTTCAGCTAGGGTTGAGCATGAATCATCCTATTTGATATACCGCAGCAATTAAATTTAAAACATAAAATGTGTTAAATTTGCAATGATTAAGTTCATCGATCATACAACAGAGAGTATTGGTGCTGTTTGAGTTTCATTAATTATTGGCATTAGACAAACAAACAAATTTGTTTAGATGCACTAAGCATTTTCTAGTTATGAAACATTTTCATTTTGATAAACTATATCAAATAACTGGAGCGCTGAAAATCATCTCTTTAAGGATATAAAAAAAATGTGGATGCATTAGTATTACTCCATAGGACATTAACCAAATTCATAATTTAATATAGCTGCAATATCTTTCCCTTTTTGTGTTACATTGCACTTTTGACCACTTTCTTTCTCTTTATCTGACTTGTGCCCATCCTTTTTCCTTCCTTTTTTTCAATTATTGAATAGGACAGATATATCGTCTATATTATGTTAAATTTATTTAGATTCATGCCATTGTGTTTTTGTACTGAAGTATCTTAAATTGTATTTCGTATAATAATTATTAATGCTTACAGGAACTGTTTATTTTACAAATCGTTTGTGTCTTATTAATTTACTTAAAAAGTTTCATCACAGTCCAACCTCCTTATATTAAGTTAATTTAGTCATACAGACACTAGTTCTAGCTAATAATTGTTAACTCTTAATTAAAATGTTCTCAAAGTCAAAGGTACACTACACTGTTAATGTCAATTCACCAATATTTCCGTTGCATGTAGGTCAACACACCTCCCCCAGAAAGATAGCTTACCGATCCCAACGGTCACTTTAAATAGACCAATAGTTTTTAAGCTACATTTTGACCAATTCTAAATTTGTTGTTAATGTTTTGATTACTGCTACTGCTACCATTTTTGAAAGTGCATTTTTTTCTTCTTCAGTGAAGACCTGTACAACATATTGAAAACTGTACCACTTTTCATGTAGGACATTGTTTTTAGTGATCCACTTGAAAAAAAACTGCACCAGAGTGAAAATGATGCTTACTTGGACAAAATTATTAAAGGGTATTTTAAATATTGTATTGATTTTACCTGTTTGTTTTGATAGAACTGACTGACATTTGTTAAGCTCTGATCAAGATGAGATCTGTTAGTAAAAAAAAAAGTATATACCGGTACCAAATATAATGAAAACATTTTTGATCTTATTAAATATCATGCCTTTGGATAAAGGCATACATTTATATTTATAAATTTAAAAAAAAACAAAAAAACAATTTTTTTAGAGGAAATTATTCAACTCTTAGAAACTTTGCACCCTCTATAACTATACTTAATTTTATGATATAATTTGTTTTTTCAATTGAATGAGAGCATTGCATTATAAATTATTTTATTCACCCACAATACTTAAAAGGCTAATCTTTTTGTGCACACAGAATAGCTTTCAAACACCCCATGTGTGTTGTTTGCAGCAGCAAACAAAACAACATTTACCTATCAATATATGAAGATGCATAGTCTGGCATATCCACTATCAAGTCAGAAACTGTAGACCTCACTGATTGCTCACAGAATGGGAAACTTTCCATAGTTGCTGCTAAATCATCCTGGCTGAAATCTACTTCAGATGACTGATGAGAATCATTGGAAGACCATTGGGGTATAACGTTTACTGCAGGAGCTGGTACCATGCAGGCTTCACTTTTCTTATTTGTCAGAGATGTAGTATCATCTCTTGCCTTGGCTATTGGGTGTCCAGAAAAAAATAATGCACATTATGCAAGTGAAATATTTCATTTTACATAAATTAGCATAGGTCACTAAAGGTTAAATATAAAATTAGTAATTAGTCAAACAAAGTAGGGTTAATAGGGTTTCAAGTTTAACCCTACTTTGTTTGACTCATTTTATATTTTATTAACCTAATTGCAGTCTCTCCCCTTATTACTAAAGGTTAAAGGTCATCTAAGAGATAAATAATTCTATTTGACATGTAGGCTGTAATGACAAATGAATAAAGCAGGTATTGATATTATAATACATTAATTTTGCTTGGGACATTGCTATTTCCCTAAGCTATAGTATTATCAAGCTGATCAGTTAAAGTTTCTCCCTAAGCATTCCCTCGTCAAATGACACTTATAAAAATCATTTGATTTTTGCTTTAATCCACAGCAGATTTTAATGCTTTATACCGTATTTTCGGGCAAATAAAATGCACCTAATTATGAAATGCACCCCATATATAAGGCGTAGGTTTTGATAATTTCTGTAAACAAAAATTACATAAAATGCACATGGCCTAGCCATCTGTTGCACTGAGAAATTTATATCGGATGGGTTGAGTACCTGGTATCTAGATTCTAGAAACAATAAATGCCTAAACATTGAAACCCAAGGATTTTAAATTTGAAGTGACCTGCACTGGATTGGTACACGTAGTAATTACTGAACACTTACTACTTACCCAATTGTTTTTACAACTAGGAATGAAAATCATGAAACGTGAATATCCACCGCAATGATCGTCCTTCAGTATCACACACTGTACCGTTTGTTCATGTTAAAATTTAAAATTACTTATTGTATTTTCTCGCATAAAAGATAACCTCTAAGACGCACCCATATATAAGACGCAGGTTTTGACAATTTAAAAAAAAATATTTGACATAAGACGCACCCTGATTACAGGGTACGTAAAACTTTGTATAAGACACGTCTTACATATGCGAAAATACAATATCTTCTCTATTGACCTGTTAATTGTATATCATGGGGCTTTGGGATTGTATCGTTTCTTGATGTTGAGGTTGTTAGCTGAGGTGACAACATCAGTGCAGTTGATAGTCTACTCTGATTACTCTGGTTGTCTCTAGTTGTGCTTTGATTGCCTTGTCTTGTATGTTTGCTTTGTGAAATTATTTCACTATCCTGAGCAGTTTCTTTGTTATTTTGTGATATTACTTGGTTGTCCATGATAGTGTTATGATCCGCACTTTTGTGGGTGCTAGGAGACATTTGGTTAATCTTTGATTGTTTCTCAAGGTCTCGAGGTGTATTGCTCTGAGTCCCATTGGACATTGTTTGACCACCTTGTGGGTCTTCCAGTGGAATGGCCTGCTGCTGAAGCAGTAACATTTGTATTTGTTGCTGTAACTGTCTGATTTGATCATTTTGTTGGATTAATAAGGCACGGATATCAGCTGGCACTTGGTCCCACTTAACATTTTCTGTACAAGTACTTTTACCAGATGATGAAGAATGATGTGCTGTTTTTTCTCCTGCTGCAGCAGAAACCCCTTTTGGTTGAGATGTATTAATTTTTTCAGGAGTGGCACTGAGCCCACTGTCATCATCGTTGGAGCCGCTGCTGTTGGTGTTGTTACCCGGATGATTATCTCTACTTTGATCAGCATTACTTTCATTTTGGCGGTTTTTACCCTTGATCTGACAGAAAAAAGTTTCTTCAACAACTGTGTTCAGAGTAGAATTTGGAGTGTAATAGGTTTTAATTAATGGTGCAGAATTCACTTGAAGAGGCTGTTGGGTTGAGTGAATGTGATTAGCTGTTAAAGGGTTAGCGGGACACTGTAGTGCATTTTGTGCAGGTACACAATGACGTAGTGAAGCAACTGTGTTTGATGTTGATGGCCGGGCGTTAAAATGTTGCAGCCATGGACTTTGAGCAGGCTTGGGTTCTACCAGTTCTTTCGAAGGAAAAGTACAGAGTACTGGTTCCGTCCTATAGTGGTCATTACAGGGGTATGGCTCAAAATCAATCATTTGATTTGAAGGAATGCTGTGCTGAAAGTTTTTAGGAATAGAGAAAGGTTGTTTGTAAGGATTTGTTGGTGTAGAGACAGATTCAGAGTTCCCTGAAAAATATTTGGTGCCTTCAGCTCTTGCAGTGCTATTGAAAGGTAGTGTCTTTTGTGAATATTTCATTTGTATACTTCCATATCCTCCTGAAGGACGTGAATGCTGGGAAAATGGAGCAGAACTAAAGGTTATGGGTGCTCTAATAGGTGTTTGCATGTTTGGCATAGTCCTTGCTTCGGAGGAATGATGAAAGAACCTGGCTACTGGCTGGTATGAAGAAGTAAAATTTGAATAGGTTGGCTTAAAAGGTTGTGGAGGAGCATTAAACTCTGATGAATCTGTCCACAGTACTGACACATCTGGCACCATAGGGCGCATCCTTTGGACCTATTGGAGAGTGAGAAGATAAAACCGTTGAATTTGTAACACTATAGGGATTTTCATTGACAATGCAAATGAACACAATAGTGGGTCTCAAAAATTGGAGTGATAGTTATGTTACTTTTCTGAACTTAACATTTCTAAAGTTAAAACAAAAGGGTTCACATAATTTTGAGAACATATGTAAGAAGAGACTTCTATTTAAGACTGACCCTTTACAAAAATTCCAACCAAAATTTTAATAAGACAACCGAGTTATATTGTTGACATTTTTAATAATGAAATTAAAAATACTTTTTCCATATGAGGAGTAGGTGCAGATCTTGGTTCAATATCATCTGTCATTCCACAACTCATCCCCTTCTCTAACCTGCAAAAAGTACAAACTTTCTAAATTAGTGGACTATTAAGTCACATGGAAGGCATTTAAATTTGAGCAAAAAGTCATTTTATAAAGGAGGGGGAGTGGAGTTGCTTAAGTTGGTGACATCAGGAATGGTCATCGACTTTGCAGCCCCCCAAAACATACAAAATACACTTTATACAAAAGCCATTCATAAATAGTTTATGAAGTGGACCCAAAATGACTCTCCTTAATAATGCCAATCCCTATTTTCGACTGCAGTGATAAGGGGCTACTGAGGCTGTGGTAACATCTTGCAATCCTAGGATATGTATAGTTGTACATTCAAATTACAAAGCATTGACCACTAACCCTAACTTCATTAAAACAAAGCGGATGATAACATTTGTAACAAAGTTCAAAACCTTTTAGATTAGTTGTAAATATTGTAAAGTATGGGAATTCACTAATTATTTATGCGCTCTGGATATAGTGTTTTACTGCGCACCGCAGTGGTTAGAAAACCTCTTCCTGTGGAAAGAACCTTGTATAGAAGAAGAAGAAAAGCAAGGTCAGAATTAGAATATCCTAGATGCTCCAATAAACTAACACTAACAGGCTTTAACAGACACTTAACCTTTTACAAAGATCATTGAATCATAGAACCAATATCCGCCACAATTGCAAAGAAGTAGGGCTTATGGAATTGGATTGACATCTAACATGTAACAGAAATTCAACTATTTCTCAAAGTTACAAAGATATACAATGGGATCTCAAAACACATTTATATGGTATAACATCAACAAAACTTCGCAGAACAAATTTTCTTTCAGTATTTGTGGAATTCTCTTCGACTACACATCCGCAATATACCGACCATCACAGCCTTCAAAACTGCACTCAAAACACATCTCTTTAAACTCTACTATCCTGACTGATTCCCCCCTCTGACCAATAAACGATGCGGTTGGGTGCCATCCATGGCTTGATATGTAAATATTTCTGGAATGTAGTGAATATACATTTGTTTTGTTTTATTTAATTAATGTATGTTCATTTTTAAGTTCATCATTATATTTGTTATATTTTATGTACAGCCTGGTGAGCCCAGCCCTAGGCTGGGTTACACCACACTATATAAAACCACTAATAATAATAGTTTGGAAATTAAGGAATGAAAAGTTTCAATCTCAATTCTTCTATAATCTTCAACTGTCAATACATATCGACAATGTCTTTAAATTTTGTTCTCATTAAAGATGATAAGCAGTCATGCTTGAAGTACTGATAATTACTGAGCCAAATATAAAAAAAACATATATATACTTTTTAAATCTATATTTTATGTCTTTACTTGCGGCATGCTTTACACAGTAGTGAAGATAGGGTTATTACAGCGCAGGCGGGTCAAGATATTTGCTGCCCCACTACCAAGAACAACACTCTGCAGTTAGCTGAATATGCTACACACAATATAAAGGAAAAAGGTACTGCCCAGTCCCCATTTCTAAACCACAGGCTGCATAGTTCCAGAAAGGGCCAAGGTGTGCTACTTTAATAACTAGTTACATTAAGTACCTGGTACAAAAAAGTTGTATAAAATATTCTTACAATAGCATGCTATGCTTTGCCTTAGCTGCATCAAACATTTCCATCTTGCTTCTGACATCTGCTGGTCTCAATTCAAATTCAGTAAAGCCTTCAGAAGGATTTGAAAGTGCCTGTTTTGGACACAGAGACAATTAAGTACGAAACACAAAAATAGCATAAAATTGAATGAACATTTTTTTTTTCAATGTCTTTTCTTTTAAAGGTGAGGTGAGGATAAAAAATCTAAAAATTTTGTTTGGCTTTAATTGGGATTTTACTACCTATGCCTTTTTTGGTATTGTAATGGAGGTACAAAATACGCTTTAAATAAAGAAATTTATTGGTTGCCTTTGAAACCCCTAAAAACCCCTGCCATTTTTATTATTTTAGTATTCTTCAAAAAAGTTATTGCCATTAGATTTTAAATATACATTATGTAATAAAACTTTAAATAACAGGACTTTTTCATGTAATAGTAATAGTTATAAATCAACAGGGTCACAAAAAGTTAATCCATTTCTCTTTTGCAAAAAATAAGGGTGTGGGAGAATTCTTTTTAACCCATTTTCTTCTCTACAAAGTTATCTTAATTCTAGGTTATTCAAATGTTTTTTTTATTGGTCACTAAACTGGCAAAATTTGGTGAGGTTTGGATTATAAATAAAAAAGTTATAGGAATATTGGTGACCAAAAATATTGAAAAAAGAGAAAACTGAAATAAGGAAGTAAAATGACAAAAACGATGAAAATATCAGTGAAATTTAATACATTTATTCCAACTGGACTTGAAACATTTCATTAGCCTATTGTAGACATTTTTTTATCCTTTTCCAGGTCCTTTTGTCCTGGCCACTCAACTTTTCCCTGTGTGAATGTTTTTTTTTTTTTTTTTTTTTTTTTTTTTAATTTTTTTCTTTTTTTGGCCCCCCAAAAATGCAAAACAATAAAATCAAAATTTAAGCTATATGAAAATGCAATTCCAGATAGTTATTTGGCATTGTTCATGTATGATGTATGATAAAAATGCAACTCTATGTCTTGTATAAAAATTGTCGGTCCTGCAAGTCGTAATGATGGAATGAATATTATCAGTTGTAACTTTTCTGATTTCTAGTACACAACTTTTTAGTCCCTTGAGTTGCAACATGTATTGAGCCTAAAAAGCATACAACAGCCAGAAAAATCAGTGATCACTCTGTCCGGTATGGTAGTTCATTAATAATTGTTGCGCACTGGATATTGTGTTTGATTATGAGCAGTGTGTTTTTGAGAGATAAATTAGTTAGTGAACGCTCCTCCCTTGTTTTACTTGGTGAAGTATTTTTATGGTTATTATGATGTGTTTGTCTAGATTGTTTTGGTGGTGTACGTGCTTATTGGTAAGCAGTTGTGGAAAGAACTTTGTCAGAGATAGTTGTGTATCATTCTCTCTGATGTAAAGCTGTGCTATACATCATTGATGAAATGTAAATTCTGTGGATATATTTATAGATGAAAGTTGCATTAATTATGGAAAAAAGATTTGTGTTATTACGGTACCGTGTATGAACGTATAAAGAACTTGATGAATTAAACCAATCATATATATCAAGAATTTGAAACAAACCATTGTAAAATCTAATTAGCTATCAAAGTTTAACACTAATCATGTTGAAAATCACATTGGATAGAGATACAATGTTGAAGCAAGGAAATTATTAATATGGTCCTTTCAACTGCAGGCTTATTCTTTTTGTCCTTGAATAACATAAAATAAGCCTTATGATGTATTCTGTGTTAGTCTTCTCTTGCCTCCTCCACTTACTTGAGGTTACTTTTATTTTGATTCATGGAACATATGTTGCAACTAGGAATCTGTAACATTTGTAAGACATAATGAGGACACTCCTTTTTCATGTACACATTAGGGCTAAATAGACTAAGGCAAAACAGTATAGTGTAGTTTATAAATAGGAAATATAATGCATGTTGTGTTCTGCTATGCTCGGCCAATTCACTCTGCATCACCTGAAAACAACAAACTTGAAGTTAGATATTTTTATTAAATGCTTCCCAACAATTAAATATAAGGACATTAATTAATGATAGGTCTAACTCTTAAAACATAATAGACATTGTTAACAAGTATTTCAAGTAAAATTTGTTGAGGCTCTTATTTTATTTTAGAATAAAATAACACTAATGTATGTATGCCGCGATACAAAAAGTTAGAAATTTAAAATATTACCAATTTAATTGCTATTGTAAGTCATAGATCACAATTAATTATTAATTACTATAGTGTCTATTAGTTTTTATTTTTACTACTGTCACTAACAGTGTTTACTATGAGTATTACTATATTTTAAGTAGAAGACTTCATTCACTCATTGTAGGCCTGCAATGCAATAGGCAAAATAGTGAGAATAGGCTTACTCATTAGCATTAGCATGAGGAATAATTGACACATCAAATTTGACTCTAAGCAACTAAAAGATTTTTTTGTTTAACAACTTACCATTATTATTTGCATGGTAATTTTCTATCTTCCAACTAGTGAAGTAGCGTAGCGTTGGGTGAAGTGTCAAAGGTCAGGGCTAGATCATGTGACACATCAAGTAGGTCAGGAAAATACCATATTTTGCTAGGAATAACCGGCTATTAAAAGGTTTGGTTGCTTTCATAATTTTCTTTGACTAAAAGCTAAATTTATCTAAAGGAGGAAATAATCAGCTTTCCAACCATACCAAATTTGTTGGGATTGGGGGATTCTGAATAATCATACAAAAGGGGTAAAAGCACTCAACAATGGGGTAATTTTGACTTATTGCTGATTGATAGGATCAGAAAAATTTAATTTATTAGATTTTATAACTTACTTTTGTAAAAACAAATCTAATACTCTAATTAAAGAAATGGTTAATGAAATCAAATAGACAACAATAAAAAAAAATATTCAAAATTTGTCATTTTTGCCCATTTCTCAAACACACCTCCCCTTAAGGACTTCTGTGAAATAGTATTTTTATCAGAATAATGTGAGAAACAACTATTTTTGACAAAATTTAATATAAAGTATTCTGAAGAAAATGCAATACATCATACCTTGACAATGTTTGCCACTTCATAACCTGAAAATAGTTCAAAATCAAGATTTGTATTGCCAGAATTTGTGACACACTGATAAAACTCTGGCCTGGAATGAAGGGGTGAGTAGATTATCAAAAGGAAGTCATCAGGAGGCAAACAAACTCTGCAGATAAGAAAACATGAGGCAGTGATTACTTTTATGTTTAGAACCATTACATGAATGTTGAAGGTAATAAATGAAGTTACATAGCAAATAAGGACTTAAATAATTAACATTTTCAGGTTAAGTCCTCTTTACTTAAAAAGATGATCATATGGCCTTTGACAACGACAGAAAACAAAATGTTAAGACTGAATTAGTAATAGTTACACCATATCATTTACAATTAATTTCTGTGAACATTATGAGGAGTATGCTTGTATAGGGAAGTTATTTAAGCACTATTTTTGTGTACCTACCTGTCGGTAAGGTTTGCATTATGAATGTAGCGCAAACATGCAGCCCAAACAAAAGGATGCTGAACAAATTCAACCCCAGACACCCATCTGTAACAAGAGAAAAGTTAGTTAACTGAAATATATTAAAAATGGTAATATAAAAAACTATATTATGATAACCAAAATAGTAAAACTCTTTAGACACAATCCTATATAAAAAATAGTTTACTGACTAAATAAATATGCCATATAGGCCCATATTAAAAACAAGGTTTACATACATGCCAATCACTGGGAGGTTTGATGTCTTTGGGTCTGATTCTAGGACTAATAACAACTTTCTGGTGTGATCCATTGTCAAATACCTAATAAACAAATAAATTTAAAATATTAATTAGGTAATGAAATGGTTGTTGAAATTATCATTCTTTGGTTATTACTTAATTTTCTGCATTCAGTGATACTCTGATAAGAGGCTGCACTGAAAAGTAAAAGTTGTAAAACAATTGGAATATGATTTACTTTGCAGATTACTTATATTCCTTGTTTTTTTAATACAGACCTCTTTAACTTCTAAATAAAAATATTAGCTAATGGGTAATGTGTCCTGGTCTAATTTTTTTAGATCAGATTATACAAATTCACAATCCAGAGCTCGGATGCCAATCAAACTAACATATTGTCATACATGAATGTAACTATTAAAACTATTCAATTTTGTATATACTGTTTATCGAATGTAAACAAGCCAAGAAAAGAAGTAAAATGAATATTTTAAAAATAGTATCTTTTAAACCTACCCTGTTTTTGGCGTGCCTTGCATATGGCTTAAACTCATTGGACCTGCCAGATTTTTAGATAAGGCTGTCAAGACAATAGGGATTGGAGTTATTGGGACAGCCTTAAATACTGTATCTATTGTGATCATATCAATATCCAAGTGTGAGACAGATGCGTGGGAATTGCTATAGAATGATGCACTGCCTTGCAAAATCAAGAAGTCGGAAAGTTCAATACTTCTTTTACTGCAACAACGTTCTTGTAAAACCTAAAAAAATCAAAGGGGATAAGCAATAGCATTTTAAAACATTCCAACAAAGAAAAAATTTAATGTGCAGGAGAATTTTAATAATCACAGACATTTGTTTATTAGAAAAGAAATAAGCATTCCAAACGCCTATTGAGGCTTTGATTGAAACAAAATATGACCAAAAAATATTGAGATTAGTCATGGTCTCATCAATATTAGCTAATTTTATATTCTTACATTAAATGCTTTAACATAACTGTCAATAGATCCACAGCGTTCCTTGGCTATGTTGTTGGTGACCTGAAATAGATATTTATTAGTTAATTTTCCCATTGTCAATTTAACGCCTCATCATTATGAGAAGTTTTAAAATATTTAGTCACTTCCTTATCTTTCAAGTACCGGTACCGTAATAAAGGGATATGATAGATACAAAATGCAAGACTTTATTTGTTATTTCAAGACTCCCAAGATGTTTCAATCAAATAAAAATATATCAATATACATAACTTGACACTAAATGGCTAAAATACTTTGTAGTATTAAAAAAACTTCTCCAAGACTTGCAAATCACTCTGCATTACAAGACAATATTTTAAGAGTTAAACTTAGAAATCGATGATTTTAAGTTTTTAGCATGAATGAAATAAGGAACTATTAAGATTTTTTTATTAAAAAAATGCATTATTTTAAACTAATGTTCACTGTTCAAAAGCCCTAATTAGAGTACCTGATGAAATTCACCATAAAATCATTAATCTACCTCAAATGGAATGAGCACATCTCCTGGAGCCATGCCAGATATGTCCAGGGGAGAAGATGGATTTGTATCAAATCTATCAATTTGAAACTGAACACCTTCTCTGTCTGTAAAATATTTGTTCCAACAGTATGGAGCATTTGTATCAAAATATTTCTTTTAAAATATTTCTTCTTGAAATTTATAATACTAGGGCATTTAATTTAATAATTTTCTCCCAAATAAGACCTTAACGAAAAAAAACTAGTGCTTGTCTTGTAATATTACACATATACTTGTCATTGTGTGAAAGAGAGTAGGGATTATGAATTGAAAGCTGAGACACATAAAGATGCTTTATAATAAATAACAAGTTTTACAGAAATACAGATCTGCTTACCCTCAAACTCCTAAAATCGTACAATATCGCCCCAAAATCATAATAATACAGTATCTTAATAGTAAATAAATAAACATACAGTATTTATTGTATACAACGACTACTCGCATCACATCAAAAAGGGTAACTTATAAAAGTAGATATTACTCACTGATAACTACCACAAGCTGTAAATGGGTGAAAGGAAGAGGGGATAATAAAAATCATACAGCTGTTTTGGCACTCTTAAAATAGATTTCAAAGGCCCTCTCAGATCCTATAAAATATGTTGAAATTTAATGTTGCTGCGCAGAACAGTTGAGAATGCATTCTCTAGTTTTCTCCATTTCTGCACTCATCTTGGTTCAAACGCAAGAAATAATTGTCACAAAATTACGTCATACAGAGCAGAAACAAATAAATGGGAGGGGCCATCTATATGGTACGTACACACAAAAAAAGCCAAATTTTCTACCACCCCCCCCCCTTGTTGCACACATGACTGCCCCCCAACCTCTTTTTCTATATGGGTTGCTGTGGTGTGCTCACAGCGGCATTGCCAAATATTGCAAAATTTTCATAATTTTGTTTTGACTTAATCCAATGTGACCTAGCGGTGGTGGTGAAACAGTAACTCACTTGAGTAACTAATGTTTTCAGTTATTAGATGGCGCTTAGTGACCTACATATGAATTATATTTCATTCATTGCAGGATGCGGAATGCAAATGCAAGTTAAAACTAACAACCCAAAATGATCACTTTAATTATTTTTTATTTGGAAAATCCAATGGAATGTATATATTTTATATATTTCTGAAAATCATAGTCTTGACAGGTCTTGGCGTACAATCTTAAAAGACATCTCAAAATCATACACTGTACACCAAAATCATAAGAGTAAACAGGTCTGGAAATATGTAACATACCATCTTCAACAACAAGGGTTCCAATGAGTCTGTGGCTAGCTTGTGCAAAATGTTCACATTGGTGTTGAAGAAGCTGTAGTACTTTCTCTGATATACATATTTTTGGCTTCCTGGTTGAAAATGAAGATTATATTAGACATTCTAGGTAGCAGTTCAAAAATAACTAAATCTTTTAGTTACTTTCTGAAAATTAATCTCTTTAAATGATAAGCTTATCATTAGGTAATACAGGGTGTTGAAAAACAACATAACAATTGTCAAGGGTATGAGAATCACTGTTGTTATGTGTAGAGCATTGTTATCATGTTTGATAGGGAAAAGATGTTGAGTTAGAGATTTTACGTGTAGCTGTATCATTTGTGTGAGAGTGTTGTGACGTAATTGTGTAATGGGAAGTGACGCGTTAGTTTTAGTGTTGTTGGAGAAGAGAGATTGTCGTTGCGCACTATTCAAGACATAGCTTCTTGTGTGATGTTTCTATGTGTGAGGATTTCAACTAGATATATTGTGAAGTTGAACGTTTACAAGCTGTATAGTGAAGTACACTGATTGTCATGTTGAAGAGGCATATTAAACTTATATATTGTAACGAACCGTGGAGTGTTTATTGAATTGGAAACTATTACTATTGGTTGTGCTGTTCGATGATCAAGTGGGAGACTTGGCTGTATGAATAGACACTCATTGCCATTAGTGGATGATTTGCAACACAACAGATACAATGTCTTGACAACAATGAAACAGTAATTGTAAAAAATTTTGAAATTATTTTTAACCTATACCACTTTAGGACTGTGCACTGTAATTTTATATCAATGCCATGTATGTCTCTCCTTTATATCATTGAAACTTAAAAAGTTACCTTTCCCAAAGAGACATTTACTATATGTGATGGCTTCTCATGTATCAGTTGTAGTGTCATCTACATAATATAACATATGCCAATTGTGTCCCTTATAAATCAGTGGTGAAATGGGACAAAAAATGTCTGATATATTTAGTGAACACCTCTGCAAAAGATCTGATTTTAATTTTAAGCACTCTGTTTTGTGGAATGAAGTTTAAATATTGATTTTCATATACCTGTAGTGACTAATATTCAAGAAAATAGCTTTTCCAATACAGCTTTTATCCCATAAATATTGTTCGGTCTTTGGGAAATCACCATAGGATTGAATTTCAGGTAGTCTGAGGACAGAGCAATTTAGAGGGTCAGAACAAGTCAAGTCGACATATATCTTTGCTTTTTTTTCATGGTTTTGGAAACTTAAGCGAAAGCTAAATATTCTTTTCAAAATGAGATGAGGCTTAAGCTTAGGATTAAATTATAATTATAATGAAAAACTACAGAATAAAAAATAATTTACTTAAATTTTGAGCTCTGTAAATTCATATTATGTTTAAATTTTAACTTATTTAATTAAAATTAAATAGGACTCAAAGTTAATTTTTCTAAATTTTTGGTATTATTTTTAAAAAAAGAAGATAAACCTGGAAATGGATAGTTCAGCTTCAGTGGCCATCTCATATTCACTTAAACTCGATTACTTGTAGTATTTCTCAGTAATCTCAGCCAAACCTAAAAATACATTAATTATATTTGAATTCTTCAAAATCGAACCATATATAGAGTGTAGGGATCCAGAGCTTCCTTTTATTCTTGTCTAGAATCTAGTCAATAGATCAGTTAGCATAATTTATCATAGCTAGTGTTTAAGTGTAGTGCTACCGACTACTCAGATATTGATTATTGAAATAGGCTAATCCTTTCCCTGAGGGAGGGAAAGCAGATAATATATCACTTTCAGGGTACGCGCTTGAAATGCTTTCCCTCCCTCAGTTAATTATTTATAATTATAATTTATCATTATGACACTGACATTTCTATAAAGAATAAAGAGTGAAAGTAACTTAATCAATCAGCAGTAAGGCAAAGCCTAATTCACTTATTAAATATATCAATCCGGCTGTTTCAGACTGAGCGGCCCACGACGACTTTGTTTTGGATTCATTCCCCGTAATTTTTTCTTATTTTTTTTAAAAGAGTTGCATTTTCGGAATAAAAATTTTATTGGTTGATTAATTATAATTTTAAAATCTTCATTGGTTGGCTCATTATCATATTTCTTTTGTTCCGCCATATTTGATATCTTTGGGGTCCCTATGGGGTGTGGAGATTTATTCATTTTGTGGCTATATTTTCGTTGGAACCTGAAATAAAGTGTGTAAAAGTGTATTTCATGAAACTGTAAGTTGGATTTTCATTATTTCTTTAGTTTATAATTTTTTGGGGCCCTTTTTTATTTTTTTGTGTTAATTTTTATAGTTTTCTTGGCAAAGTGTTTTTACTTGTGGATTTACGGCTAGTTTTTATGGTTCAGGTTAGGTTTAGGGATCGATTTAGGGTTAGGCATAGGGATAGATTTTGGGTTAGGGTTAGGCATAGATTTAGGGTTCAGGTTAGACATAGGGATCGATTTAAGAAAATTTTTTCATACATTTTTAACGTTTTCTTCCTAATTTTAGCAAACGTGAATTATTTTATTTTTCTATGGCCGCCATCTTGGTTGCCTTGACCTGTGAACACGTAAAAGTGTGTGGGTCGCGGCAACCAAGATGGCGGCCATGGAAATAGACGGGGGGCGCTCTCTCTTAAATTACTACTAATTCAAATCTTTAAAAAATGTCAGTACTGAACTATACTGAGTTGTTTGTAAGTAATGCAATAGTTATAGTTATAAGTTATAGCAACATGGGCATGGGTAATTATGAGATTTTCAATTTATTTCACTGAGACTAGAAATAATTAATCGCGCTAAAATTAAATAAGCCTAAAGGATTACCCTTAAGTTAAGAAGGGCTGACATCCATTTACACTATTTTTAGATCTTTTAAGTTTCAGATAATCCGCAAATAAATAGTCTAAATGGCGTTGATAAGGACGCACCTGTCGGCCATTTCTCGGCTCATCCATTACCACATTTAATTCATGATTCACGCATTTTGCCGAATAGAATTAGAATTATTATCAACCTCGTCTTCCTTGACGACGGCTTCGTCGCTTCTTAAAAATGTATAAGTTTTACTTGAATAATCCTTTTAAGTTATGCTAATTCTATAAATGTCCCCATTTAAAAATATTCGGTGTTTGTTGCAGACGATAGATAACATACATTTTTTAAGTCAGTAAGTGTAAGTGATCCATTCAGACATTTTAAGTTGTGTCAAAACAAGCGCCCAACTTACAACAAAGTCGAATGCGCATGATCGGAAGTCAGCTCATTCTTCCTTTCGTACATTGCTCATGGCGACCTGTTACTGTGTGTCAACAAATTCTTTAGGAAACTTTAACTAAACATAATTATCATACTAAACTTAAAATCACAAATTTTAGCCAACATTTTTATCGCAAGTAAGTATTCAAAAACATTTTCAGATTTACTTATTGATGAAATTAATTTTTAAGTTTAACAATAGTTAGCATAACAATGTCAATGACTATTGACTAGATACTTTGGTCAAAAATGTAAACATTTTTTAAAAATAAACCAATGGCACAGTTGAATAGAGCTAATTTTAAACAGAATTATAACACCAAAATAATATTTTTAGCTGTTGTAGTTTTAAAGTTATGAATTTTTAAAGTACGACTTGGTTTGTCATTTTTTAACATGGACTTCATCTCCACATTCTGTGACCTCATTCCACTGATCGCGTCATGCGCAATGACTATATAGTTTATATAAGGCAACGCATTCCCTATCACTAAAATACTGTTTAGGGTCGACTTATTTTAAACTTTCAACTTTGGCACATGAATAATTAATAAAAGCTTTCCCTGACCAATGGTTTAATAGCTTTTGCACACGGCAAACTCTTATGAATGAAACTCTGAGATAGTACTACGACGTAGCCGTTATGCAAGTGGCTGTGAATGGTTGCCAATGACAACGTGTTGCACAGGGAAAATTCTGATCATTTATAATATGGACTCTGCAGGGTTTTTAAAGCTCAAATTAAAACATTTCCAGTTTAAATGTCTTCAAAATGCATTCTGAAACACAAAATATAAAATATTTTGATGTATATAGTGGTAATAATTAAATATTTCCTAAGTATCGGCAACTTCCGCCATTAAAAAGGGGGCGTGGCCCACGCCATGTCGAAATTAGGCTGAGCCACCTTATGGTGATATGGGTCACTGTGACAAGTGTAACAAACGTGAGACACGACCTACATCAATGAAACTTGGCACAGATATAGATCAATATCTAATGCTCATACAGATTTAATCAAAAAGGACCTTATCTTATTATTTCACAAAAAATTTTGTATGCGAAGATGCCTTATATATACCAAAGATTTTCAAAATAAAGGTCGATTGAAAAAAGCAAAATAGCTGGCTAGAAATGTAGGCCAAGATGTCTTCCAAATTATAAGGCCGGAAACGGAACTCAAATATATGTGGAAAGAACTAATTTAATAATAAATAGACACACACATCGGAAAATTAAAAACTCGGATTTTTCGGCGCCGACAGCCATTTCCGATACAAAAAAAATAGTAGTCTCCCTTGTTTCATCGAAGTATCTACTATTGACACTGGGCCTGGCTGAATTATTATAGTGGCGAGCTGATAGGGTAGGCACTTTTATGAAAATTTCAAAACATTTTTAAAAATATAAAAATACTACAGCTGTTTAGAGCCTGGAGAATAGATTACAAAAACACCAAGATCAACTTTCTAGCTCAAGTGGCTCAAAAGTTATGATTTTTTTATTTTTAGTAGGGACCTCAAAGTTCAAAGTGGCACTTTTTTACTATGACTATGGCTAGGGATAACAATACTTGTCCACGCACCGTTCTGCGCATGTCCTAAAATGTCGAAAAAACGTGTTCTGCAATATGGCGTATAGCAACACGGTATCATTGGAAAATTGCAGACTATGTCACCTTTGTTTAGTAAATAATTGAATTGCTTTCCTCATCACTGGCGTATCAGTTTTTGTGTTCCGGTCATATATTGATTTATGCTACGATATTTTTTTTGCATCACGGGCAGTATTATTATGATGACTCTGTTAGTATATAAATCGCATAAATACTTTTTTACTAATAAAGCCACCAAAATAAGGTTTAGTCTTAGTGCTCCCTAATCTACAATCATTGTAAGAGTTTTTTCATTTTTTGAGTTAATATCGTTGAGCTCTCGATAAAAAGTTATGCAACCCGTGAATAAGTGGGGGGTATGAAATTATCATTATTTTTTTATTTTGATCGAGAAGCCGGAAATGGCTGCTATCGCTATTATTCGTTAATGTTAAATCCTTAAATATCTAAATAATTATAAGACGTTTAAAATGAATCATTTTAAGAAAAGATTATAGGCAAACTTGAAAAGTTTATGTAGTAACCAAGGGTTGGTTTTAAGTTTTATTTATTACGTTAAAAATTGTGTAGGGTACCGGTACACAGTTTATCGTTCATTCATTATTGAATCAATATTTAATAGTTTTACAATTACAATAGTAATATCGATAATAATCGTTTTTCTGTTATTAATTATTTCAGAGAATATTACTAAAATTAGGCCTACTTATCATTATCAGTTATAATTATAATTATAAACAACTGTTATTATAATCCTATAATTGTCTATTTAGGCCTAAGCTTAATTTTTCTTACTAATTCTATTACAAGCCTATAAGTTCTATTATATATAACAGTTTTATTAAAATACATCAAATTAATAAACAAGACTCAAACAACATCATCATAGCAATTATATTTTTATTAGGACATAGAAAAGCAGTACATAGACAATTATTTAATATATAAAATAATTTTTTAAAATGAATTAGTCTCATCATTATCATATTATCATCATGGATGATATTTGAGTAATTTTTATCTATAATTACATGCTTTCAATTTTATAAATAAAAAAGACTACTTACCTTTTTATAAATATAAGAATTGATTTAAAAATAACACAAGCATAATAAAATTAGTTAAAATTCAATAAATAATAATAAATATGGACATATGGTGGGGTTTTTTTTTCGTTTTTTCCTGTGTAAATATTGATTTTCCCAATTTTTCTGTTCACTTTTTTCTGAACATACCCACAAATAAATATATAAAAAAATAAAAGTCTTAATGTTGTGTAAAAGTTTTGTTGTTTATTGTACTGTATATTGCATTGAGAATGTCTCCTGAAAATTTGGTAGCATTATCTTTTAAAATCAAAAAGTTTTGGGCAAAATAAGGCAATTTTGAAAGTGGGTCACATGTTTTTTCAGTTTAACACTAAGACTAAGATAAAGAAGAGGGTGTTTAAAAATCACCCAAAAAATCATAGCTCCACTTCTATAAAAGATAGAAAGATTAAATTGGTGTTGTTGTAAAGCTTATAGCTGGCCCTTTAAAATGATGTATCATTCATGGCAATTTGACAATATTTAAATTTTGTGTCAAAGTACCTACTATGGCATGTAGGTACTTTGACACACATTTTAAATATAGTCCTATTGCCATGAATGATACATCATTTTAAAGTGCTAGCTTTAAGCATTTTCTATGTAGACTCCTTTACAGACTTCTTGGTCTTGTTAATGAATCACAAAATGTCTCCTTCATAAACTTTGTCTTTGCCATCCTCGTCCATGTTGATGGAAGTGGAATAAATTCCACAAAGACAAAGATCTTCTCTTCAACAGAAAATTAAATTTTTTCCTTGTACCTGAAAGAAGCCTAGAAATAACATTAACATCTTGTCATAATCCTGAATCTTCACAATTTCTTGTTTCTTTTTAATAATATTCATTTTATGTGGTGATTATAACTCATTTCTTTTTTTTTTTAAATATTTAATTTAATGTTATTTGATATATTAAATAATTGTTTGTGTAAACTGCTTTTCTATGTCCTAATTAAAAAAAAAAATTACTTTGACGATGTTGTAGTATTAGAATGTTGTATTAACTTAACAATAATTAAAAATAATAATTGCTATTACTATTATTACACAATTAATTATTGATTCAATTATGAAGGACGGTAGAACTAGAACTAGAAAGGATAAATTTGGTACCCGGTGAACAAAACTAACGCCATAAACCAAATTATTCATTTGAAACGTATTAGTATTAGAATTATTCATGATTCATATGGTTAGGGATTTTTAAAAAAAAAAATGATCATTTCATAATTGACAGTAATAATAATAGCCATTTCCGGCAACTCGATCGAATAAAATTAAATTTCGATTCAGCAACATTTTCATACCCCCCACCTACACTTTTGCGGAAGGCATAACTTTTCATTGAGTGGGTCAATTTTAATAATTTAAAGATGTTAATACGCGCGATTGAATGTAGTTTCTAATCCACTAAAGCTTATTATTACGGAACAACTAACAAAAAAGTATTATGTGATAAACTTACTGCACAATACTAATACAAAAATGTGAATGTTCAAAAAGCGTAAACTGAAAAGACAGTTAGGCACAAGCGGTGATCTTTCCCCTTCATATTTACGTGGATTCATGTACCACAACCGTTTTCGTGGAAATTATATTTTTTTAAATTTCATTGTCAACTTGGGGGAGAACTATGCATAATTCCATTTTCACACATTATCTTCTATTTGAAATTTTTTTTTATAGTTTTCCCATTTTACAAAAATTGTCTATTATTATGGGAATGAATACATACAACCAATATCATTAAAAATAATATAAGAATAGTTGTTTAAATAGCCCTTCCAACCGGAACAGCTGGATTTTTTCTTGGCCGACCAAGTGGTAGATTACCTTATATTTTATGTTGTTAGGTAATAGTCTGTTAAGCAGCACTTCCGTATCGCCCGGAATTCCCGAAAAACGGGTATCGTAATTTCGTTGTCAAAATGGCGACCTCCACTTCTTAATTTACTGAGGGTATCATTTGTTATTTCTTAACGCATTTCATATTTTCTCATGTACACTTCTGTGTATTCTTTATTAATTAAATACAGGCATTTATAATTAACTAATACTGAATTATACACAATGTTCCCTTTAAGCTGCGCGGCCGCTCAGCTATCTCACAGACACCGTGCAGCAGTTTTGAGTATCCGTGCAGCGAATTTCCATGTAAGTGTGTGTATGTGTTTGTGAGCTGTAAAATTTTGCACACAAAAAAATTTGGTGCTGTAAAACTTTGCGCACAACTGTATGATTTTGCACACGAACCAGCAAACCTTAGAAGGAAGATTGATTATACAGAGCCTTTTTTATGTTTATTTGATTTCTGAAGCATCTTTAAACATCCCCCAACCAAAGTTACATAGCCCCTGTTTGTTTTGTATTTCCTTTTTCACCCCCTGGCCAGATTTTTTATCACTTATAAGTTAGTATTGCTAAACGAAATTTTCAAACTGTAGGCATGTTCACACAAAAAAAGAAGGAAATATAGGGGGTGAAGGGTGAACTTAGAGGTTTCGTTTTGGGATATTCAAATACCGGTAGTGAAAGGTAATGAACTCATATTTTCCTAAAGCCTAAAACTAGCCAATATACAAGGTGTCGCTGTTCTCACCCAAAAAAATATTCATTAATAAAATCCAAAAGGTATTTCTTTCGATCCCATCGGGATCTCACCGGAAAAAGGATCCCACAGGATTGGGATCTCACCAGAAACGGGATCCCTCCGGATCGGGATCTCATAGGGATTGGGATAGCACAGGAAACGGGATCCCATCAGTATTGTGATCTCATCGGGATCCCACCATGACTGAGATTTACCGGGATCGGATCCCACCATGGCCGGAATTCTACCTGGATCGGGATCAGGATCCCATCATGATCCCTCCGGACAACGGGGTGCCATCTGAAAACGGGAAAAATGAAAGGTTTACATAAGTTATTTTAAGTGTTTTTATAGGCGACACATTAATTAATTTATTTTTACTATAGCGGTGTTGTTTTGTTGTTGACATTTCGTTAATAGCAATGTGAATTAAAAGGATGTACCAGATATTTTTTTCTGAATGCAGTCCTGGGAAACTCTGGTTATATTTGATAGTTAAGTTATAAAATAAATACAACATTTATTAATTTATTCAAGATACATAAAATTGGGCAACTTTTATAGCGTATCTTTAAAGACAGAAGAGTTATCCTTGATTAACCACAATGGCTCCGCAAAGGACAAAAGATTCATGAAAATGCACTTTTTTTATCTCATAAAATTTGTTAAATTGTTGTTGTATTCTAATTAAAAGATGATATTTTAGTTTTAAAATACTTTTATAAAGTATTAACATAAGTTTACATGTAAAAATACGAAATACAAACAGAAATAATATGCGCACCTGAACTGCACTTTTACCATTCTACATCCGCCAATTTCTTAAAGCGGACATCTTGCTTGTTCTATTGCGAATTTTTTTTTTTTTTTTTTTTTTTTTTTTTTTTTTTTTTTTTTATTTTTTTTTTTTTTTTTTTTTTTTTTTTTTTTTTTTTTTTTTGATGTTAAAGCTTTGAAAATTGAAGTTGAAAATAGGTAAACTTCACTGATCAATAACTTTTTTTCTCAAAAGGGCCGATTGATTTTTAAAAAGTATAATTTAGTTTATAAGGTCATTTATAACATATCCAAAATTCATGAGTGTAGACCATAGGCAAGCTTCAAAAGCGAAAGTCTAAGAAGTTACTTTTTTGGCTATGTAATTTGTCATCATGGCCACTGTGCGTGACTGCATATTACCAATTATGGATAGCTGCTGTGGGGTACTAAATAATTCATTAAATTGATTATCCAGAATATAAATTGGAAATATAACTAACAATAAATAATTTTAAATAACTAAAAAAGGCTGCGACTATTCGTACCCGGGTACCAGAAGTGAGAGGTTGGGATTAAAAAGCTATTTAAAATTATTATTTTTTGTCAGGTTTGTAAGACAAAATGAGGTATCAAATGAAAGATAATTGAATGGACTATTTGTTTGTAAACTTATTTCTTCAGTTTAACTAAATTAAACTACCACAAATGACATCCGAATAGCTTGAGTCTAATGGTACCTGGGTGCGAATGGCGGAGCTGCGTACCGTAATACTTTGACTTTGATAGACCAGAATTTGTTTGTTTTGTTCAGTTCGCCGTTCAACGGATTTTTGGGGTAAGTATAGTGTAAAATACAGTAAATAGATATTTAAATTTAGTTTTTTTTTTTAAATATTCAGTTAACTATTATGAATAGAAAACTACGCGCCCGATCACTGTATAAATTGACTAAGCCGACTAAGCTAAGACTTAGCCTTAAAAAAAATTAAAGTTGAATTTTTAATAGTTTTACTGTAGGTTGTCCAAACTGGAGAAAAAAAAGCATTTTTTTTTTGGGGTCATTTTTTGAAGTCGAAGTTTTCAACAACAAAAAATAATTAACCCACTTATATTAGTAGTGTTAAAGTTATAGGAATAAAATTTATGCTAGCAGCTGTTTAAATTTTCATAGCCATAGGTCTACCCCAGCCCCATGACCAATATAACAATAACATCGACACATATTTTTTAAATGGAGTTTTAAGTTTTAATGCTAGGCCTTTAACTGTATTTATTTATTTACTTTATTTGAGTTAAGTTTAATTATTAGAGTAGGCCTTCTAAATAGGCAAATATTAAATAAAAAATTAAGTTATGTTATTTTTGCGTTGCATAGTTTAAGATGACTTCGGAACTTAATTTAAAAATTATAATTATTAAAAGTAGCTGATACATCCATTGAGCCTTATTCACTCATTGTCATTAGCCCTTACTTATACCTGTAGCTAAAGATTAATGAACCCCTGTACTCTAGGTATACTTTGCGGTATTATATGCATAGTTGTGTCGTTGGGGGGGCTCAAGAGATTTTTTTAAAAAAATTGGTTGCTTGGTCGCGACCCATTTCCCTGTTTAAAATCCGGACTAAGCCATGACATAGGCAGATGCCCATCTTAGTTTCTCTTCTGCCTCTGTATTATTAGTTAAGTAACTGTGTAATATAGTCTATATTATGTTAACCCTGTTGTAGACCTAATATGATAATATATTAACTATATTTTGTTTCACTATTCACGGTCTAGGTTTAATGAAATAATGCCCAACAGTTCCTTTGAAGACTAATGGTTAAAATAGCACTCCTGAGTGAACAAGCCATCACTACTACTCTATACAAGAATTGACTCTGAACTGAGTTCATCCCAAGCTAGTGGATTGGAGTTCAATCCCTAGAAAATGCCTACATAAGCAAAAACATCACCAGCATGCTGGGTAGATGGGACTTGTTAACTTTGAATGGCAACTCATCTTAGAGAAGGCAAACTCTGAAATCAAACCCGGAGATGAAGTCCCATATGCATTTTGACATTGACACAATGAAAATTCCTACAAACTCCTATGATGTAGAAGCATAAAGAGCATAGTGAAACACACACACTCACTGCTGGTAATCTATTGCAATTGCATCCTGGCCTATATCCAGTCGCCTTGGCTAATCTTGCCATTGAATCAAATAGGCAAGGACAAGAGAGTGGTTTTGACGAATTAAACAACTCTCCCTAAATTTAACAAAATAAAGCTCACGTCAAGGCTACTGGTCCAGTCTTTGTGATCTTCAAGTGTACAGTTCAAACAACAATACTAGAAATATTGATATCAAGTATATTTGCAGAACAGTTTTCGGATGCCATGAAAATTAGGGGAAAATGATTAGGAAACGTCAATCGCCTGAGACTTCCTCTAGTTCAACTTCAGTTTTTTCACCTACCTTGGGTGTTCACTTTTGCAACATCTTAGTCAAGCTCCCAAGCTATGTGTATCTTCGGAAATAAATATTTCTTATTAGTGATTGAAATAGATTATTTTATAACTTTATTAGTTGTTTGTTGTCAAACATCAAGTACATCTTATTAGAAACAAGTTACTCAATTGTGTGTGAACTTGGGACCAGAGTATTTGTACCGTTACATCCTTAAATCAAATATAGCATTAGCAGTTTTTAGAGTAAGAAACAGTCTAAAGGGACCCGGGTCCGAATAGCGGCGCTGCGTGTCCAGGTCCATTTTGACTAAATGCTATTCAGATGTCATTTGTCGTAGTTTATTTTAGTTAAACTGAAGAAGTAAGTTTACAAAAATATAGTCCATTCAATTATCTTTCATTTGATACCTAATTAATCTTACAAACCCTTCAATAATTTTTAAATATTTTTTAATAAATCCAAACTCTTATTTCTCGGGTTTGAATAGCCACAGCCTAATTTTCATAGGAAAATAATAAAGATTTTTTTATTTTTTTTTTGCGGAATTTTAACAAATACTAAATTATATTTTGTGAATTTATTTAGAAGTACTCTTATTTAACTATGTTCCCTGTAAATATTATATTTTTGTCTCATTTAAAAATAAGTTACAGTCGTTTTAAAAAAGGCATTAAAGAGGGTCACAAAATGTGGAGGAAAACTCCATAGTGAAAAAGTGGTTTTGAGGTCCCTACTAAAAAATTCATAACTTTGAACCACTTGAGCTAGAAAGTTGATCTTCGTGTTTTTGTAATCTATTCTCCGGGGTCTATACAACAGCTGTAGTATTTTTATATTTTTAAAAATGTTTTAAAATTTTCATGAAAGTGCCTACTTAACCCTTTCATTACTGCTGGTTTTGGCATCAATTTTTGCCGACTCAAGAATTAAAAACCTTAAAGAAGAAACTTTTGGTATTTTTCATTCTCTATCCGATTTTCTTATTAACTTATCTATTGATTAACAAATAAAGAAATATATAGCATTGAAAAATAATGCCAATGTGACGTCCTGGACCTTGGTATTTCATAAAAGTTCTTTGCCTGTTTGTTATGACGACAATGTGACGTCTTTGGTAATTGAAAGTGGGTGATTGATGTCGCGTTAATGTTTTTTATTTTTAATTTTTGGTTGAGTGGGTGTGTCCCTTCACACTCAAATAATAATCATTGGCCTATGCCTAAATTGTACTGACTATCTTTATTTTAGTTTACAAGCTTATAGCTTTGTAATTTATTTAGGGACTTCTGTACCATACTAAAGCTAGTTAATGTTTGATTTTTTTTTTCCCATAAAACATATAATAATTAATTTTTATGTTTTTGTCACAAAGGCTATATTCAATGATTCATCCCTTAATAATGTGTGGACAGAAGCATTGGGCATTGCGCTCTACCCTTAGCTTTGCGTACTACCCATCACGTAATATGCATTAGGGGCATATCGAAATATCCATCACCGGCCAAATAATTATTCAGAGATTTAATTTTGGGGCTGGTTGCCATGGACATGTGATTGATAACCAATTGTCAAATAGACATTTAATGAAAAGCATGTCAATCATATCATATCATATATATATATGTATATAAAAGTGAAAGTTTGTGGATTTGTTTGTTTGTGGGTTTGTTCCACAAAGGCTTTTACATGGATTGATGGATCTTCTCCAAACTTGGCTCATATATCCATCATTATCCAGAAGGAACTTTTAAGGGGTTATGAACTTTTTATAACATTTCGTTGGGGGCCGGGGGTCCCCAATTCATTTTTTTCCTTAAATGAGCTATATATTTAAAATTAGCAACAAATACTCCTACATGAGTAGATGGATTGGGCCCCAGTTCATTTTTCCTTATATAAGCTATATAAATATCAGTATGCTTCATACTCCTACATGAATGGATGGATCTTGAACAAACTTATTACACATACACATGATCATCCATATTCAAATACGGAAGGGTATTGAACTCATATTATCCATTTCCCAGGGGCTGGGGGGCCCAGTTCATTTTTCGTTATATAAGATATATCAATAGGGTTAGACAACAGTATAGGTTCTATGTGAGTTTATGGATCTAAGCCTATCTTAGTAGCAATACCCTTCTTTGTCTGTATTGAAATATCGGTGGATTTAAAACTAAAATATCCAATCTAGAATTTTACAGAAAGTTCTGTTATAGAGAGCTTGTTTACATAATATTTCTCGTGCGTGCCCTCTGATTGACCCCGCATGAGACGCTGTGTTCACTAAGGGGTGTGGCTTAGGTCTTTGATGTATTCTTGTTTACGCCGCCAACGAATAAAAATAATTAATCTGTTCCAAATAGTATTTTGTAGAATGATTTTGATTTTTCTAGAAATTTCTCGAAGGCAGGGCTTGGGCGTCGGTAGACCCACCTATATAAGGGATTGACAGGCACGGACGAGGACGGAGATTTTCTTATAGATTCTCTTAACATTACGAGGCGTGTTTTATTCTTTGTGTATTTGTGTGCTCCTACTTATATGTGTTTATTTCGCATTATTTATTGGCATCATTATTTCTAATTGTATTAACTGTGTACCGGTACGAGATCTGCCATACTGTAAGTTGAAGATTGTAATTTTATTTTATTTTATTTTGTAATTATCTTAAGACATAATAAATCTTAATTAATTGTAACTAGAAACTGTTTTGGGTCGTATCCTTAATATTGTTGATTCTATGGTATCGTCCTTTGTTAGGCACTGCTTACCACGAGCCAATTAAAATTAAAATAGGAGAATAATTTCTCCCAATACAAGTCAGTGCGTAACAGTTCCATAATTTTAAAAAGCTATATCTATGGCATTTTTGAACCAATTTTAATGGTACAAATTTTAAATTTTATCTTAATTATGTATCAGAATGATTTTTATAGGGCCCCCTATCTCAGGCATAACTGAATCGGTACAGTTATGTAATGGACCCCTTGATTAATTTAAAAGAAAAAGGATTATAATTATTTAATTTGCTAAGGATTTTTATCGTATTCAAAAAATAATTAGAAAAGTAGTTTTTACACATGTTTCGAGCAGGTTATTAAATTTAATCTAGAATATTCCAGAAAGATCTAAATTGTTACAAAGGAATATATAGTGGGATCTAAGGGTTAAATGAAATGTTGGTTAGTTCTATTCATTTCTATACTGCCCCGGAGTTAACTGTTCTCTCAGTACCACTGAAGAATTTTTTGATGCGGGATCCCAAAGGGGCCAGGATCCCATCATAATCTTTATCCCAACAGAATTGGATTTCACCAGAAAATGGGATCCTACCAGGATCGAGATCCCAACCTTTAATGGATCCACCGGGATCGGGATAACACCGGGAAATGGAACTAAGCCGGGATCGGTGTCAGAATGGGAATAGGGTTCCAATAGGATCGGGGACACACCAGGATGAGGTCCTAATGCTATCCCGTCAAATTCCGGGTATATCCGCTAGTGTAACAGAACGGTTGTTGCAGAGGATGGCTCCGGTCCTGACATATAAAAAACTATATTAATTTAGTTGTCTTTCGTAAGGGACCGCTCCTCTCTGTGATTATGTTGTGGGTGTGTAGGCGTTGGGACAGACAGAAGCACAACGTAAACTTTAGTGAAATCTAAACAATTCAACTCTTAGTGTCCAGATGATATAATGTTTTCATTTCTTGATGTAACAACAATTAAAGCTAAGTCTATCGAAGAAAATATAACCTTTTCAAACATGTAATATCCTCTCTCTCTTCCCAGAAAAAATGCCCCCAACCGCTCATTCAATATCCAGCTAACCTGGTGCGGCCCATGGGGAAAACCCAAACAAAACAGCATCATTACACACTAATAATAACTAAGCTCTGTCCTATACCCCCACCCAAGTCATTTGTGACAGCTAGTGATATTATAAAATAGTAGTATAAATATATTAATTTAATATTTAGGTCTAGTATATATTTATGTTAAAAACTTTTTTTTAACTTACCATTGATATTAAAATAATTAAGTAAATATAAAATCATAGTCACCTCAAATAAATATTTTACAAACACAGCACATTAGTCTAAAGAATTCCACAACATACTTTAAAATTTTCCACAGGTGAATAATAATTAATTGCAAATCTTTCAAATGAATATTAAAATTTATATCATGTTTTCGTAGGCTACTTATTCAGACGAAGTTAATATTAGGCTCAAATCAAACAATATCAAATAATAAGTATATATTTATGCATCTTAAATTTAAATTTGTTTGAGTAGGGTTTACTCTTTGGTTTTGTCGGTGTGAGAATCACTGATAATTTTATTGTTTTTTCTCATTTATAAATACAAATAATTGCTTTCTTTTTTAATTTATAAATTGCAAATTTGAGCTTTGTATTTTATTATTTAATAATTTATTATTCTTTTTTCACTCTACAAATGCACAGTTTATTGATTGATATAGGAAAAATAGTATCTAACATTTACATTTAAAATACTTATTTAATTTAAATAAGAAAATTCTATTCTATAAATCCTGTAAATTTCTCATTTGTATAGTGAGAAATATGCCAAGAAATATGGGTGAAAGGGATGAGCTGAAAATGGGTGACAAAATATAGAGGAAAACTCATCACACCGGTAATAAAAAAGTGACTTGAGATCAGCAAAAAATAATTCATAACTATTGAACCACTTGAGCTAGAAAGGTGATATTGGTGTTTTTGTAAATGATTCTAACAGCTCTATTCAACTGTTTTGAATTGGTATTGTAAGAAATATTTTGAACATTTCATCAGGGTACCTATTACCAGTAGCGTAGCTAGGGTTAGTGTCACCCGGTGCGGTAAACTCATGGGCTCAGTTTCCACCACTTATCCAAGCCAGTAACAAATGTGGATGTTGTTTCTGTAACAATAACAGAAAACAATCTGCAGCAAAAACAATTTCTGACTGACGAGTGAATAAACCATCCACGACCGCAGTATTTTCTTGCCATTTTGAATCATCCCTTAAATCCATTGATTTTTTTAGCTGGCAAACACCTCCTTTAGATTTCGCATTTAGCCTTGTCACTACTCTGAATAGTCCGTCCTTGTTCTGAAACGAGGTGCTTCATATTTTAATAGGTTCAGACCGAAAAAATATCCCTAAAGGTATATGAGGTACGTATCTAGTGCATCTTTTAAAATGTGCCAGTTTTTGTCATTAACCATTACACGTACAGTATCATGGTTTGAATCAACATTATCACCAATCCATCCATGTCTTTGGATTGGTTACATTTATGGAAAATGTAAGTGTGATCGGTTATACTTTTATGAATCTCGGTTGTGTGTGCTCAGATTGCTCTGTAAATATGCAATTTTTCAATTGGGTGTCACCCCTAAAATGGTGTCACCCGGTGCGGTCCGCACCCCACGCACCCCCCTCGCTACGCCACTGCCTATTACTTAGTAATAAGTAAAGTGGTGTATGGCACTGTTGGATGGGGGGGGGGTGGGGTTACCCCACTTCCTCGGAAGGGTGAAAGAAAACAAAGCAACTAACCTTTTGAAAAAAAGCTTTCTTTAGAACAAAAAAAGGAAGATACCTTACTTACAGCTGTGTATCATAAGTTAGGTACGGTACTTGGACAAAATTTTTTCAAATGAAGACAATTTTATGATTAAAGTTACATGTTTATTAGGTTTTTTTTGTGTTTTTTTTTTTTTTTTTTTGAGGTAGTATATTATATAGTGAAGCATTTTTTTGGTCAGGCTTTTAAAGACCAAATGATTGATGAAAAATATAGTGATTTTTTTGAGGTAGTATATTATATAGTGAAGCATTTTTTTGGTCAGGCTTTTAAAGACCAAATGATTGATGAAAAATATAGTGATGTATGAAAATATAAAAGTACCACCAAAAAAATGGGATGGATTTAACATTTGAGTGGACAAGTTTCAAGAGGAATCAAGATGCATCTGCATAAAATACTTTTTAATTTTGTGGTGATAGGGCCTATATCTAATTTCAAAATTGGCTTATTCAAAAAGAGTGATAATTATTCAGCTAATTACAAATCTAATTGAATATTTTTGTTTCATTTGTGGCCAAAGCGTTATTTTTAAATTTTTAATACAATTATATTTTTATATAATCATTTTAAGTGAATATGAATTTGTAATTTTCTTATGGAGCAAAATTTTGAACTAAAGAAGTGTTAATTTTATTTCAGCAAATCTGAAGATTGTAAGTGCATTTTTTGGAGCTTCTTTGAGCTCCTGGTTTAGAAGTTATTCAGCAGTGAAGGAAGCTAGAAACATTTTCAAAACAGGAAAAATAATGGCAGACAAATCAAAATCCCAATACAATGTTGTTTTTGTGTTAGGTGGACCAGGAGCTGGAAAGGGTACACAGTGTGAAAAGATTCAAGAGGTAAATGTTTCAGTCATGAAATGCATGAAAATTAGTACAGATTTATTGCATCATATAAATTAACATATTTCCTGAATAATTAGTAATAGATTTTATGCTGCTAAATTAGGAAGTTCTAACATCTAAAATAACATCCATTTTCTCAGACATTTGGTTACCAGCACTTATCTGCAGGAGAGCTATTGCGACAAGAAAGACTGGCAAAAGGATCTCAATATGGTGAAGAGATTGAAAAACACTTAAAGGATGGTTCGATTGTACCCGTAGCCATTACTTGTTCACTTTTACATAGGGTAAGGGCGCGTGCAATTTTTAATCACTCATAGAGATAAGAGATCCTAGTTCAGTAAGAATAGTTTGTCCCAATATTATTAAAATATTATAATTTGTATTTTATGAGTGTATTCTTAAGTTTTCCATACTTTTCAATTTGTTTAGGGTCTAAATTTTTACCTTAGATTTTTTTACATGTGATGTATTTGTGTCATTAAAAAATATATATATTAAGTAATCTTTAATTTAAAAAATTCACGAAATAACTGACAGGCAAATAATTGAATCACCCAACCAGACCTGCACTATAACTACCAGTACTGGAGTAGTGTAAACGTAATTTTAATCTGTATCGAAGATTTAATTCATTGAACACCATGAGCCTCTCATTTATGATTTATCAGGTGGGACAAAATATATCAAATGTTTACAAAACTAATACTGTAATCAAGTTCAATAGTAATTAACACAGACATGTTTACTCTTACAATATCAGTGGGGGGGTGGGTGGGGATGGGTTCGACAGAAAGTACTCACAGTATTAAAATTTTTTACAATATTCATCCTGAAAGATCATATTTATATTTATATCTCGAATGCTGTGAAAAATATGCTATTTTTTGTAGAAATTATCTTCATAATGATATATTTTTTCACACACGAACTCGCTAGATATGCTCAGATAGTACTCAGTAGTAGAGGTATTACAGTAATATTTAGTCCACCATATGTTCAACAAGCACGTGACATATATTTTTTTGGGCAACGACAGTGGTCTGCAAATCGTGGCTCAGCTTGTGGTAGTTATCAGACTGTAATATTTTAACAGAAAATATCATAACAAAAATTGATTTTTTGTTAAAAAGCTTTTCCTAAAAAATACTTATGAAGTTTGGTAGTTTGTTTTTTGTAAACAATGCCCTAATTTGTTAATTCATTCTCATTTTTATAAATTGGAACTATTTGAATTTCACCAGTAACTTTATTTTCTATCAGTAACAGACTAATGCAATAATGTGATCTGCACGTTCACCTAAATATTAATTGATATCTATAACAGATACACATTTGCAAAATAAAGTGCCCACAGCTAGCAATAAACATCAGTCATTTACCTTTAGAATTTACCTTTTTGACTTCAGCTTAACTTGATCCCACTCGATGCATGATGCAAGCAGTTATACATTATATATACTGTGTTTATTTATTTACTCTTAAGATATTGTAATGTATGATTTTAAGACGATATGGTACGATTTTAGGAGTTCGAGGGTAAACAAGTTTGTTAACAGTACCAGTAGAAGATAATTAACCCTCTTAAGACGGCTGGGCAGACCTATCACCCCAGAGTGTTATGGCGAAAAAGACAAAAAGCCCATCTATCAACCCATCTTTGTATCAGCTAATCAGATTGCATCTCGCATTTCTTGCTCATCTCGGCATTTTAATGACAGCTTCCATTGATATTTTATGGTGTTCCATCATTTTATATCAATTTTTTTTTGGTACCTAGGGATCCCTATAAATCATAAATGCTTTAAAAAATATGTGAATTATGACAAAAGGCATAACAGCCCTAGTTTTTCACATTGAATCTCATTCAAATTATTTAGGCTCCAACAATCATAAAATGTGACAAAATTCTGCCAGTAAGACATGTTTATTGTGTAAAAAAAATAATTGCATACATAAATTATGCAAATTGGGATGACAGATTTGCATAAGTGTTGAGATTTAGTTTGATTCATAAAGATTGTATTTGTTTAATCAATTCCCTACAGCTATAAAAAATACATATAGTTTTGTATTTGTAAAGTAATTAGTTAATTTTTTATAAATTTTTTTACAAAGTAAGTGCATGGTTTTTTAAAAGGGCTCCGTCTTTTTAGCACAGACAGTCCAAAAATGCTCCATCTCAAGAGTGTTAATAGTATGTGTGTTTTTTTGCTAATGGGGTATTTAAGAAGATAACCCTTTAATTTGTCGATTTTCCTCAAAAAGATAATAAAATAAAATTAATTCTTTATAACTGTATTTTTAATTTTGAAATTAACTCCGTCAGTGTGGTCAGCCCGATTATGCAGGGCTCTACATAGGATACACATTTTATTTCAGAGAGTAACTAAATTTCAATAAAGATGACTTGATAAAATACATTAGTCATATTTTTATCTGCTAACAGGAGATGGAATCTAGTTCCAAGAATAATTTTCTAATAGATGGTTTCCCAAGAAATAAAGACAACCTTGATGGATGGAATGAGGCAATGAATGGGGTGGCTCAAGTTAAGAGAGTGTTGTTCTTTGATTGTCCTGATCAGGTACGTCATTCATTAATCACGGACCCAGGTAACATAATAGTAGAACTGAAATTTCAATTTCAAGCTTAATTGTACTGACCAAATTATTAACAATAAATCTAATAACCAGTATGGGAAACAAATTTCATTACACTTTTAAACAAATGAGATATGATACTTATGAATATTAATTGGTATATAAGAACTAGCTACGAAAGTACATTGCAAGGCCAGGGAACAAAATTTGGAAAGATTTATGCTGTAAAATTTTTAATTCCAGGTAATAGCCTATTTTACATGTTTAAATATTTAGTACCAATACCATTTGTTATTTTGGACACCTACAACTGCCACCACCCCTCTATTTCCTACATATGTCTCAGTGTATTTCTCACTGCTAGGTTTGTGTAGACAGATGTCTCAGTCGTGGATTAACCAGTGGAAGATCAGATGATAATGCAGAAAGTTTAAAGAAGAGGTACGTATTTAGTCACTTTCAATTTCAAATCGCTATGTTAGCTTTTATTAATTTTTAAATTTTTTTGCGTTCTTACAATTTCAGGAATTTTTAAAGTAAATGATTTATCATTTCAGGATTCAGACTTATAGAGAATCTACCATGCCAATTGTAGATCATTTTCGCAAAATTAATTTAGTATCCGAAATTCAAGGTGATAAGTCAGCTGATGAGGTTTGTATTAGACATTGGTAATTTATAATTAAATTTCACTTGTCCCATTATTTTAATTCAACTTCTATCTTGTAAAAATTTATAGAGAATTAACAATACCGGTACTTACATTTTCAAAAGAAAAATTAAGCATTCATTATCATGCTATTAATAAATATTTAAGAAAATTATTTTTTTATTTTTATATTCCGGTACCATATTTAAAAACCAAAAGTATTTTAAGTCATGAAACTTTGGTGAGAATTAAATGTATTTACCAATTAAAATTCCTGCTTTATTTACTTAATGCTAATGCTAGCCTATATTAATGAAATGCTAACACTTTTTATTTGGTGTATTCTAAATTATTTATGTTTTTCAAGAAAATAAGATTAATAGTTTTGCTCAGACATCTTAACACCCAGTATATCTATTCACAGGTTTTTGAAGATGTCAAAAAAGTGTTCAAAGCCTTAGACTGCTAACCAACAGCTTTCAAGCCTATAAAATGCCAGTCCACTAAAGTCAATTTCATGAAGAAAACAATTAGAAGTTCATAAATTTTATAAATGTAAAGCAATTTTTTTTCCATAGACTAGACAGAAGTATGGTCCAAATCTAATTATTCTTCTTAGATCTCAGTTTGTAGACTATGCAATCTTTATTTCCTATTTGTCCTGTGTTTTCAAACGATTATTATGTCCACTAAAAAATCAGGTCACTAAATGGATTAATTGTAATATGACACAAATTTTATCAGAAAAGTATTTACAATGGTACCTCAGGTTTCGAACTTAATTCATTCCAGAACTCGGTTTGTAACCCGAAACATTGAAAAAGAGACAATCCGTTTCAAGATGAAAGAATCTTTCTTTTTTATTAACATCTGGTCATTTACCTGACAAACACAAAGAATATGTGTACATTACGTATTAATTAAATAAAGAGAAAGAAAACAACCAAATAAATTAAATGTAAATTAAAAAAAGATTGAGTCTATGATAGTCTATGTGTCTTACCAAGAAAACGATCATGGGAAATGTGTTACTTTCTTTGCTATTCCGAATCGATAGTTTCAGGAGTTTCTTGGCAGCCAACTGGGAATCTTTCTGCACCAAGAAACTATCACTGTCAAGAGAAATTTATCACTTCCTTTGCTGGAGAATCTTTCTGCGGTGTGCCATCACGTTATCATTCATCAGGTTTACTGCCCTGTTAGCAAAAGGTTTGTTTGGATGACGGTTCACAATGAAGTCTTTGATGTCTGCCCACTTGCTGCAAATTTCTTTAATCCTGGCAGTCACTGGCTCCTCATCGGATGAGTGCTCCTCCTTTTATGTCTTTAGCTGTTCATTCTGAAGATCTACAAGCTCTCCACTGTGGTCCTCAATCAGCTCCTCTAAGTCGTTGCCATTGACTTCCAGGCCCATATTTTTGCCCAAGGACACAATCTCATCCACTACAGCTGCTGCTTCTGCCTCTAATCCTTCAAATTCTTCTCTAACTAGCTGGTACACACGATGGCCAAACTTTCTTCCAGGCAGACTTCAAGGTACGGGTGGAGACATCATTTCAGATCTCGTCAATGAGGTTGAAGCAGTGGAGGATGTTGAAGTGGTCTTTCCAGTAATCTCCATTCTGTGTCATCAGTGACCTGAAACACCTTGAGAAGAGCTCCTTTGTGTACAGTTTCTTGAAGTTTGAGATCACTTGCTGGTCCATGAGTTGAAGCAGAGGAGTGGTGTTGTGAGGCAGAAATTTGACCTTGATGAAATCATACTCCATGTCCACGTTGTCCTCCAGACCCAATGGGTGGGCAGGAGTATTGTCCATAAGCAGCAGACATTGAAGGGGTAGATTGTTTTCTTCTACGGTACTTCTTACACTTGGGGAAAACACTTTAGTCAGCCATTCCATAAAGATGGCTCTCGTCATCCATGCCTTAGCATTAGAATTAGACTTACACATCACAGGGGATTTTTGGGACATTGTTGCGTTTAAAAGACTCAAGGAGTTTTTGAGTGGTAGACCAACATTGGCGTAATCTTGCAGTCACCAATAGCATTGGCACAGAACAGCAGAGTTACCCTGTCCTTCATTGCTTTGTACCCTGGCAGTGCTTTCTCCTCCTGTGTGATAAAGGTCATCTGGCATTTTCCTCTAGAAGATCCCCGTTTCATCGCAATTAAAGACTCCTTTTGGAATGTAGTCTTCCTCTTTGATGATCTTATCGAATTCCACCTTGAATGAACGCTTTTGCTTCTTTCTTGTTAGAACTTGCAGCTTCTCCGTGCCTAATTACTCTATGAACATGAATCATGAATGCAACTTCTTTTTTTGAACTTTTCAAACCAGTCTCAGCACTTTCGACAATAAATCACTGTGTAACAGCTTTGCATTTTCACATATTATTGCCTCACTAGCACTGTCTCCTGCAAGTTGCTTTTCATTGATCCAGATCAAGAGAAGATTTTTAACCTTTCTCTAAACTTTGATGCTGCAGCTTAGTTACCCCTTTAGCCACATCGGCTGATTTAAGGAACTATTTGATTTTATGATGGTGGAGATTGTTGATTTTGCCATGCTGTACTCATTAGCGATATCACACACACAAACGCCATTTTCATAATTATTTCTTTTTTTTACCTCTACTGTTATCTGTTTCTACTTCCTAGCAGCACCACTACCTTTCTTCTAACTCATAATTGATGGGGTTAACAAGGAAAATAATGAAAAAGATAAACTGAATACAATGCCACTGTTAAGAACTCTTTTACTGTTGTGTAGTAAGGCTAATAAAGCGAGGCTGCGCACACGTGTAAAACTAGACTACTGATAACTAGGCTAGCGCTAAGCCATGTTACTACTGCGTGGCCTTTGTTGGTACTGTACACAATCGTATGTCTCAAACGTTAAACCTTGCTTTCTCTCCCTCTCTCGCCTTCGTTCGTAACCCGAGATAAAAAAATTTCAAAGTTATTCGTAACCTGACTAGTGACTGACCTGAGGCGTTCGTTACCCGAGGTACCACTATACTTTTTAACCAGTCTATGAAAAATATAATCTTAGTAGCAAGTACTGGTACTTGGCTAAATATTCTTTTGGTAATTTATTTTGGAAGCACCATCCTTTTAGAAGTTAAAGTTAAATTCTTAACACTGATATGTGCAGAACCAATGTTGCTAAGACTAAGAGTAAGAGTAGAGTAAATTTCCTTTTGCTAATTACAGGGCAAATAATAAAGATTAACATAGAATTATTATTAATAATGTAAAATTAGAATTTTTGTTAATTGAAAGCTAGAGTTCTTTGTTCAAGGTTGAGCTATGTGATTTTACTGCTGTGTCAGACTTAAATAATGATTTGTACTTTATTTCAATTTAAATACCGGTAATGATTTGTTCTTTACATTCGATACCAGTCGTATTGTAACTTTTTTTTAATTTTGAAAAGTAATTAGAATTTTTTGTGTGTGCTGTTCCTTAAGTTTAAATTAAATTTATGTTAAAATAAATTAATTTGACAATATGTATTTACTAAATGAGCCTTGTAATTATTTTGTAACGCACGCCTTCAGATTATAAAATGTTCTTGAAGAAAACAATTAGAATTAGAAGTTCCATAAATTTTATAAATGTAAAACTATCAATAACTATATTCAAAGATTTAACCCATTCAAAGATTTTAAGCACCCTGACACTTTTTTTTTGGGTTGCATTGTATAATATATGAATTAATTTTAAGCATTCCTGGAAGACCAAAAAAAGGCAGGTGTGTAAAGTTTTCAGTGATAGTGACACCCTATATTTGTGTAGGTATTAATATCAATGTGTTCACACAAAAAATGTTGGGATACTTTTACTTTTTCATTCTTTGTTGAAGCGGGTACTGGTACAAGTTGCCTAACCTTGACATAAATGATAAATGTTGATAACATGACTTGAATTGTGATTGGTGGAAGTGAATAGGTGGGATTTTTTGGGTTTTTTTTGTTTCTTTTGGATCATAATTTGGCTTTGTAATTGTAATCCTGCACATTTTATTGATTTTAACTTTTAAGCTAAGTTTAATTTGTAATGTTCATGGGTAATTAAAATCTGTATTCGAAAATCTTGCATCGGATATGAACAAGTGGAAACATTTACCTCAACTTATTTGGTAAAGTACTGTCTACACTCATGTATAGGTCACTTGGCAAGAAGCCTTCATCAGTGAACAAACAACAATAAAAACAGTTCCTTGTTAATCAGTCTGTAGTCATTTATAGTCAGAGAATCGTTTTTAAAAAATGTTTGTCAAAGATCGCTTAGCTTATGACGATTCCTTTGAAGTTTTCATGGAAATTTCTGTGTGGTGTCTGATTTAACAATCCAAAGTTGCATTTACATTAAAAAATGGCCAGGTAACTCCTTAATCTAAGGGTGTGACATATATCTGCTGTCCAAATACCCACTTTGACATATCTGCTGGTGCGAGTATATACAGTATTAATTATTAGTTATTCAATCATTACAAATTATGTGCAGCTGAGGGATTTTTTATTACATGGTTAGTTGTTTTTTTTTAAATAATTCATGTGACACATAATTACCGTATATAATATACTGTACTCAAACAGATTTTTATATAAGTACTTTTGAAAATATTATTTTATTTTGGGTGTGTTTTTTAGATGCTTTGATTTCATTAATGAATGTACCGCACCGTAAATTATTTAAATTTGATACCCGTACCCCGGTACTTAAAAAGTTTAATGAAGGGATACTTCAAAACAGGTTGCTTCCTTTTAATAACATCAAAAGTTTTTCTTAAGTCTGCGGCTATTCGGACCTGGTATCAGAAGTGAGAGGTTGGGATTAAAAAAGTTTTAAAATTATTATTGGGACCCGGGTCCAAATAGCCATTATGCATTTCCGGTTTCATTTTGTCTAAATGCTATTTGGATGTCATTTGTGGTAGTTTATTTTAGTTAAAATGAAGAATTAAGTTTACAAACGTATAGTCCATTAAATTATTTTTCATTGGATACCGTACCAAATTTTATCTTACAAAGCCAGCAATAATATTTTAAACATTTTTTAATCACAACCTCTCACTTCTGGTAGTGGGATCCGAATAGCTACATGGTTTTCTTAATGAGGGCATCTGATTTGGTGAAATGTGAAGGTCTTTTATAGTTATAATAATGGCTCATAAACAAAGTCTTAAACGACATTTTTTTTAAATTTTATTTAGAGGTTCATAATAATTCTTGTACATGTTGCCTTTATTTATTATGGAAATAAAAATTGTTTATGGTAAGCTGATTTGAGGCCATTATTTTACTATCAATCAGAAATAGTGTTGCACATAATTTCACCTATTAATCTGTGGATAGTCTGATCAATTGGCATATTGCTACCGGCTACCGTACAACCATAATGAGAAATATATAAATATTACTCTTTTAAATATCTCAAATCTAAGGCTTTTTTTATGTTCAGACCTGATGTTTTTTACTATTAATATTAACAAAATAGTACTACGGTACCGGTACTTTAGTTACCTCTACCGGTATACGGTACCGGTACATAATTATAGACCTACCAAATCTGGGGATTAAATGATTAAGGACTGAGTTACTAAGACTTATTATACATCACTACATGCAGGACTGGAAGTTAAGAACCAAAAAATCAAATGCCCGGTACTGGACTGGTACTTGACTTTTTTAAGAGGACAGATGAAACAAAATTAGAAACCACATTTTTGAAAACGTTAATCGATTCAAATACTGTACCCAGGATCTTAATTAAATGAATTACTAACAGAAGTAAATGAAAGAATCCGCAGGAAATGGTCAGAAAATACTCAAAAAGTTAAAAACATTACAAGAAAAACTGTTAAAAATTAAACCAAACACATGGGAGGGAAAAGTTCTCCGGAAAACATGATTATGAACCAAGCAGGAATTGTACAAATTGTAGTCTATATCAATATCAGGATCCCACACTAGTTAGCAGAAATAAAGAGCAGGCTGCACTGGACACTAAGAAATGAAAGAATGGCAAATGACAGGTTAGTGAATCACCAAAACTCCCATAGGAAAACTGCTCAAAGGCAGACCTTGACTAAGATTATAGACTGTAGATGTATGATGAGAGGGCTCAGAGGGATTTGCAGCAACTGGGAATCCAAGCATGGGGAAAAAAAATGCATTAGTCATGATTAGTTAGGTATGAGTGGAAGGATGTGGTTAGGCAGGCCAAAGCCCTGCATGGGCTGTAGCGTCACAGTCAGAGGGATTGTAGTGGACAAATAAATTTTGAGGATACTTCAAGAACTGAATGCATATTAATATTAAATACTAGTCTAGTTCAGGTAGTATTATCTCATATAAAACAAAAGTAAAAGAGCAAAGAAACATAATGTATGAGTATGACAGAATTTTATTCAAAGAAAGTGTTCAAAATTAAATTTGTCAAACTGATTTATTTTAATGGGGAATTTAGTATAGAGTGAGGCATTTTGGAATATAAATTATATTTCAAACATAGTGCTTTCAATATTAAATTAAGTAATTTACCTTTCACTTTCAGCCATCAATTTGAATAATTGAAATGGGGTCTCAAAACCCACATGCCCAAGTCAGAAACTTCTATTAGTATTAGGCCTCAATACATACTAATGTTAATTCATATTAACATATTAATATTAAGTATTCTAGGCCCATGGAATTGAAAAATGTACGCCAGAAATAGAAGTATAAGTATAAGCAAGTAGACTAGAGACAGATCATAACAGATGGTTATAAAGTCTGAATACACAATTCCTTGAACAGTTGGGTGGCCCTGAAAAGGGCCGTTATGGAATAATCTATGTCACGACTATAAAATTAAAATTCTTGAGATTGCGAGGATTTCTTTGTCTTTCCAGACGCAGGTGCAGCTCCTGATGAAGAGGACTTCTTGGGTAACAGGACAGCTTGGATATTGGGCAAAACACCACCTTGGGCAATGGTAACTCCTGACAAAAGCTTGTTTAGTTCCTCATCGTTTCTAATAGCAAGTTGCAAATGTCGGGGAATAATTCTTGTCTTTTTGTTGTCTCTTGCAGCATTTCCAGCCAGCTCCAACACTTCAGCAGCTAAATATTCAAGTACTGCTGCAAGATAAACTGGAGCACCAGCACCAACTCTTTCAGCGTAGTTTCCTTTCCGTAGAAGACGATGAATTCTTCCTACTGGAAACTGAAGGCCAGCTCGAGAAGATCGGCTTTTTGCCTTCGCTTTAGCTTTACCGCCTTTTCCTCTGCCGGTCATTTTAGTTAAAGTATAGGAGATTTGTACACTATTATCACTGTGAGACGTCTTATGCCGTCCGCGTTGAGAAATGAAATTGGCGCTCAGGGTAAATCTTTTATATTAATAAAACCGGAAGTGAGACTGATTTGGTATTTGGATACTGAAAAGTTAGTAACCGACTACGCTGTAAAAAAATTTCTAACGAAATAATTTTTAAAAATAAATTTTAAAAAAGGAATTTATGTGGCTATAAATATTTGATCACTTTTATTTCTTAAGTTAATCATTTGAAATAAGATGTCCAGAAAATAAATTATAGATAATTTATAACTAAGTATGAAAGCTAGTAATACTCTTCCATAATATTTGTACTATATTTTTATTAATTAAGCAAATAAGCTTATTTGAAATAATCTGAAATAAAATTGCACACAGACGTAAAATATATTTTTTAAAGTTTTATTTTAGATTTGCTTAAAATTTTTAATATTGGGTATATAACAGACTCGAAAGATCAGAGCGACAATTCTTGATGCATATCGATACTAAAGTTCATTTTACTCAACAGAAAAATGGCCCTAAAAATTAAAATAATGGTTTGGCCAATATTTTGTTTTGTTAATTAGAAGAAATAAACACTTGTTTTTACCTTTTAACCTTTTCAACTTGTAATTTTGAGTTGTTTTTTTTAAAGATAATTATTTAAATTTAACCTGTAAATTAAGATAAAATTTGAATTTAAAAGTTTTAATATTGTTCATTAAACATTTCTAATCCTATAACATATACTATTATCACTTTTCGGGTTATGTCATATTCCAACACTTTCCGTCATGACCGTTTCAAGAAAATTAAAATATTATATTAAAATGTAGAATATTGTAATCAGATATACTGAAAGTTTAGGAACCTATTCAAAAAAGTAAATTAAAGGTAGGCCTACCGGTTACGAATACTGCAACTATTAAAGTATTTGTACCGGTAGTCTTAGATACTTAGATCCTACCTTCCGCGGTTGTGGGTGCTGGGCGGTTAATAGACCTACAAAATTTAATAGTTCACATGCCTACATTAGGGTGACCAAACGTCCCGCAAAATCTAGTGTAGGATTGAAATTGAGGATATTTGGCTGTTGTCTCAGCCATTTTTAAAAGCTCCTTCTTATCTGATATAAAGTTGTCAAAACTAAAACAGAAAATATGTTTGGTTTTAGAAACGGGACATTTAGGCGTCCCGAGAGACTCTAGGGACACCGGGTACGATCGTGAAAAAAACGGGACGTTGGTCGTTGGTCACCCTATTCTATTGTCTAATTACCGGTACTAAGTTGTTTTGGATAGTTTACTAATAATATTGGTTACAAAATTAACCCTAAGGGGGCGTCCATTAATTATGTAAACCAAATAGGGCTGGGGTTGGAAATGTTTGACGATTGTTGACAAGGGGAAGGGGGTAGATTAATTGACGTCAACAATCATGTTATCTCTATTAAAATGTTTATCTTAAAAATTAACTGGTTATTAAATTAGTTTAAAAATTTTTAGTGAGTGTTAATAGTCAACAATATAAGATTTATTTAATGTGTGTCTGTGTAATGTGTGTTAGCACACTTAGTGCTAGCGAAGTCAAAAGTTGGCCTCTCTTCACCTGTTGATTCTGTTTGTCGAAAATGACTAGGGTGGTATGTCTGAGATCATGTTGCAGGTATGGAACAAGGACAAGTTTCATGTGCATTCAAGATAAATGATATTGATAGAGAAGGAATACGATATTTTGAGAATTAGGGGAAAATAAAGTGAGTAACAATAATAACATCACTGCTTGAACGGATTTGCAAAATCTGTAACATCTATGTTGCATCACAAGTCATGTTGAAAAAACATGTTCAACCGCACTACACTGTACTCCTGGGCACAAGAAATTACCACCAGCTACTCAACAACAAAGGATTCGACTAATGCGCGTAGCTGCCAGGAGACAGAGAGAGCTTATGGCAATTATTGCTTCTATTTTAACTATTTTAAGTACTGAATGACGACACTGACTGGTTTGATGTGGATGATGTTGACTTGTCTGATATATCAGTTCCGCGAGATGAAAATGGTAAATCATGTTCTTTGCCCATTGTTACGATAGAGCAACATCTGTCTACTCAATGGGAAGATGATAGCAGCAAAAAACTAATCTACAATTGTCAGCTATAGCCTCCTTACAATTATCTTATTTATAATTTATACTTCCACAAAAAATGAAAGTTAGTCTTTCGCAACATTTTAATTGATTGTGCATTATAAAATGTAAGTGTAAAAACTTTTGAACTTGTTGATGAACAAGCTAAGGATGTAATAAAATGTTTTCTTACAATTTTATGTGTCGTTTAAATAGATAAGCTTAAAGTAAAATGTATTTATATATTTATTTATATTAAATTATATATTAATTCATTTTTTCTTGGGGAGTTGACATAAATACTTAGGGGGTCGGGTTCATTGAAATTTTGACATTGTTGAAGGAAAAAAAAAGGGGGGGGGGGTAAAAATTGCGTTAAAAATTGTTGAAGTAATTAAAATGCCATGGCACCATTTCAATTTTCATTGTTCAAAATGTTCTTGATAGCCCTTATTCCGCACTTCGTTGGCTCAGTCCTATGTCACACCATGGGCCTGTTTTAGTATCTCTACCATACTAGTGTTAAATTAATGCCAAACAGTACATCACATTTAAAGACTGGTGATGGTTAGGAGTGCAACCTAGATTGACGTGTCCAAATAATTCAAATATGAAACTCTGATTACAGAGATTTTATGGACACTAAAGTGTGTTTACTATAATGTTAATTTTCTTCGCAAGAAAAAGACATTAACTCCATATATGAAAAGACGTTTTATACTTGTGGTACCCGGTAACGATATACATGCTCTAGAATCCCACAGAGAATAGACACATTGCTTAACTTTTTCAGGACAATGACGAGCAAGTCAAACAATCGTTAACTCTTTTTAAGTAAACTGATGAAAAATGTGCGCAATGGCTAGGAAATTTAATAATTATATACGTGTATACACCATTATTGGTTAATTTTTTTCTTGCGTTTCAATATTGTTTTGAATTTTACAAATTCATAATTTTCATATTGCCATAAAAACTGTTCTGTTGCAATAGTCCTTAATTTTAGCTCAGATAACTCAGTCAAGCAAGTATGACCTTTGCCTTTATGCTTGCCTAACACCTTTTCTCATCCGGAAGACAATATCCTGTAGGACACATGTGTCAAACTCAAGGTCCGCGGGCCACATCCGGCCCGTCGTAGAATTATAGCAGGCCCGCGAGGTCTTGACCGGCATACATTTTTATCGAAGTCAACGCTATGGTGTTTCGCAATGCTCACTTTCTCAAAAAACTTAGCGTTCGATACCCTTGACCACGGCATAACGTCTGCAAAAAACGCTTGGTTTCACCGATACCGTCCTGAGATGGTTCCAATCGTATCTGACAAATCGGGTCCAATCAGTTATCGCAAACTGCCCGATCTAGAGGCAATCTATTATTGAATTCTGAGTACCACAGGGCTCGATCCTTGGCCCGGTGCTTTTCACTATGTACGTTCAGCCCCTGGGTGCAGTGATCAAGCAGTTTGACATGCTATACTATATCACATGTTTGCGGATGATACCCAACTTCAGCAATCCGTAATTCCCTCTCAGTTCCCTCAGCTTCTTAGTATGACGCAGAAGACAGTCAGTTAAGCACTGGATGAAAATGAACAAGCTCAAATTGAACGATGAAAAGACAGAGCTGATCCCCATTGCTACTGCTCAAAAGCTAAAATCTGTAAATAACACATAATCCCTACTCTCTTAGGTGTGCAGATAGTAACAAACTCTTGATACCGCGTGTTCGCCTTGAGACTTACGGAAGGCGCACTTTCGCATTTGCTGGCCTAACAATTTGGAACTCCCTTCCGGTCGCTCTCAGAAACAGCCAGACACTGGAATCCTTCAAAACCGATTTGAAAACACATGTACTTAGAAGTAGAGACCGATCGAATTTCGGTTTCGGCACCGAAAGTGGCCATTTGATCACTTTTGGCCTAGTTTCGGTTTGGGCCGAAACTGAAAAGTGACTGAGGTTTTCGGTCTTCTACCAGAAGACACACTGTCTGTTACTGGGCCGACAATCTGATATTCATTAGTGCTCGACGTCTTGCTGTCATTGAATGTTAAATAACTAATACTCAGCGAATGCTGCCCACAGCTGCATGATGACCTACTTGTCATTTAATCATTTATTTCCAAAAATTAAATTTCAATTAGGCCTAGACAAATGTGGAAGAAAAACTAAGGGAATGGTAATATTTATATCATTATTTTTGTTTTAATTTTTTTTTTCAAAAATAAAATTTGGAACCCTAGGTTTATTCCATTCCTTCATTTGTGATATTTATTATAATTTACCATTATCATGCTCATCAATGTTGTCATAGGCAAAGGTGAATAATAGTGCATAATCCTAAGGAATGGTAAAGTTTCAATTATTATTTCTGTTTAATTAAACAATTTTTTTTTTAAAAGCAAACTTAGGCCTTTTCAAACCATTCAATTCTTGAAATTCATCATTATCACGCACATAAACATTGTTATTGACGAAATATCACGGGTTCGTATTATAATTATGTAGTAAGGCTACTGCAGACCTGTTAACTTATATTAACTTATATTATATGATTTTGGCGACAATGTACATGTCTTTTGCGATTCTCCGTCGAGACCCGTCAGAATCGAGAACAACAATTTTAAGAAAAAAAATTCCCCCATCAAGGGCCGGGGGGGGGGGTGTTGGATGTCGAAATAAATAATTACATCCCCAGCACAGAAAGACTAGTGTGTTGTTACTAGACTAAATATTAATACAGTGTAGAGACCGACCGAAAGATATTTTCTGATTTCGGCCGAAGCCGAAAGTTTAAAAATGACTTTTGGCAGAAACCGAAGAAAGGCCGAAAATTAAAAATGACTTTC